TTGTGTCTATGGCAAAGGATTGTGGGGCGGCTTCATCCTAACCTGGAGCCTTTTTGGAGTTATGAGCTCCAAGTGGAAGGGAGGTAGGGGAATCTGTCATTGCCAAGAATTTGTGCTGAAAAACTATCCCACCCGTAGCAAGCTGTCATCTAAGACCCCAAAGGCCTAATACCAAAACCCACCTTGGCAGGTTATTCACCCACCTGACATCTTCATTTACTCGTGAATGTTAAATTCAAAACGCAGCGCTCCAACAGTGCATATCCTTACTTGGAAATATGTGTAATTATGGTATCTCTGATGGAATAACTCCCTTTTCCCTTTTTCAGTCTCCTATATTCAGTTCTCTATTAATTTCCAGCTATGAGGTGGGCCCAGCAAACTTCCTAGCCTGCTCCAAGTTTCACTCCATTTTATTCACCACAACCCTACTGTCTCTCCAGAATAGATTTCAACCCATTATCCAGCATTCCAAGAAACAGCATCTCCATCCACTAAAGAGCTACACAGGTTTCTCAATGGTACCTTCATATCAGGCTTTAACAACATACCAGGGTCGTTCTACTATCCCGGAACAGTGGGTCTGTCACTGTTCCGTTGTGGTGTTACCCACTGCCACTCATAGTATTTCGTCCTCAGTTGCCTTCATTATCAAGACACTTCTGCCCCACTACAGTCCCCCCTGCTAAGCTCTGGAATTTCCCTCAATTCACCCATCTGTGTCTTTATAAACTCAGCATTTTCCAGTATCAAGGACTTGTCTTTTCCAAGTCATCTTCCCATAACCCCATATCACCACATGCCTTAATATCTTCCCCTGTATACTTTATTTCAGTGCCACTAGAATAACATTCAGTATTCCCTAGTGTCAACCTATGCTTTACAGCCAGTCTGCTACACTCTTCCCTGCTCCCCACAACTGCCACAGGTAAATCCATGGTACAATGTGTAGTTCTCACCATTTGTCCAGCTTCCAATCTTGGATATTGGATCTTTTACTCTCCTTTAATATTGACCAACCACTGAATCCCAGTATGTGGTCCTGTTTCCCCAAATGTTTAGTTTAACTCACATATCCCTTATTATCCTTCATTATACAGTCCTCCAATGACTACTTAAGATCTAATTCACATGCCATACAACCCATTCATTTAGATTGTACAATTCAATGGTTTTTAGTAGACTTAGCATTAGGCTATTTCATCACCCCAAAAAGAAATCCTGCACCCCTACCCCATCTCCTTTGTCACTCCCCCCACTCCTAGGCAACCACTAATCAATCAACTTCCTGTCTATATAGATTTGTCTATTCTGGACATTTCATATAAATGGAGTAATGCAATATGTGGTCCTGTGACTAGATTCTTTCACTTTAGCATATTTTCACGATTCACCCGTGTTATAGCATTTATCAGTACTCCATTTCTATTGCTAAATAATATTCCATTGTATCAACATACCGTATTTTATTTGTCCCTTCATTAGTTGGGTTCATCTGGATTATTTCTACCTTTTGGTGAATAATGCTGTTATGAACATTCACCTACATTTTTTTTTACTGTTGACACATTTTCACTTCTCTAACAGCAGAATTGCCGAATAACATGGTAACTCTGTTTAACCATTTGAGAAACTGCCAGATTATCTCCCAAAGTGGTTGCACCATTTAATGTTCCCACTAGTACTCTATGAGAGACTTCCAAGTTCTCTTCTTGGCCAAAATGTATCTTTAAAAAAAAAATTAGTCATCTGAGTGTGAAGTGGTACCTCACAGTGGCTTTGATTTCCATTTCCCTGATGGCTAATAATGTATCTTTTTTACTATCTTCTCATGTGCTTACTAGCCAAATGTACATCTTCTTTGAAGAAATCTGTATTCAGATCCTTTACCCATTTAAAAATTGGGCTTTTCTTTTTTTCTTTTTTTTATAGAAAGACTAACTTTATTTCCAACTACAAAGTAACCAATGAAGTGCATTTATTGAAGTCATTTTTAGTGTGTTTAAATTCCATTGCATGCATTTTTTAAAATGTTTATTTATTTTAGAGAGAAAGAGAAAGGGGGACAGAGAGAGAGAGACATTGATTTATTGTTCCATTTATTTATGCAGTCATCAGTTGCTTCCTGTGTGTCCTGACTGGGGATCAAACCTACAGCCTTGGTATATCAGGTCGATGCTCTCTAACAAACTAAGCTACACAGCCAGAGCTAAATTACATGCATCTTTAGGTGCTCCGCTACAATCATGACTAAAATAGACCACACAAAGTATTAGCTTTCAATTGCTTGTCCTTAAGTACACAAATATTTTTCTTTCAGGGACAGAACAGGAAAAATATTCAGACTTCTGTTTTTCATCTATCTTTATAAAGCAAACACGCTACTAAGAGAATAATTATATTACTTTGAATTAATGTAAAAGGGATGCTTTTCTTGAATTCTGAGTTCTTTATATATCCTAAATACAAATCCATTATCAGATATGATTTGTAAACATTTTTTTTCCTATTCTGTGGTTTGATTTCCACTTTAAAAAAAAAAAGATTTTCTTTTTAGAGAGGGGAAAGGAGGAAAAGAGGGAAACTTCAATGCACAAGATACATTCATCAGTTGCCTTTTATATGTGCGCCTTCCCCCCTCCCCTCCCCGCCCCACCCACTAGTAACCTGGCCTGCTACCCAGACATGTGCCCTGACTGGGAATTGAACCAGAGATCTATTGGTTCACAGGCCAGCACCCAATCCACTGAGCCACATCAGCCAGGGTTTTTTGGTTTTTTTTTTAAACGAAAATAAATGACACTGCATTGTCTGAAAACATTTGTCCCCACAGTTCTTTGGGGGGATTAGCTAAATCTTGTCAATAAATGCAACAAAAATCATGGGGACTTTTTTCCTCACCATGAGTAATGTTTTATTTTACTTTTTTGTTGAATTTATTGGAGTAACATTGAGTGTTTTTGCTTTCATGATGGTGTCTGGAGTACAAAAGTTTTTAATTTTATGTAATTTTATTTTTTCCCCTTGTTGCTTGTTTTTGATGTCAACTCTAAAAAACAATTGCCTAATTCAGGATTACAAGGATTTACATGTGTTCTCTTCTTGGCATTTCATACTTTTAGTTTTTATTTAGGTCTTTGATCCATTTCAAGTTTATCTTTATACATGGTATTAGAGGTCCAACTTCGATCACAAGTGGCCAGTAATTTATGAAATGAAGCCTCCATAAAAACCCAGAAAGACCGAGTTTGGAAAGCTTTCAGGTTTTGTAACCAGAACACCTCCACCACGTCCAAACTCTGTGGGGATAAAAACTCTTCTTTGGGACCTCATCCTAGGTATCTCTTCATCTGGCCATTAAGTCATGTGTCCTTTGTAATAAACTGGTAATCAAGTGAGTAGTTTCCCTGAGTCCTGTGAGCAACTCTAGCAAGTTAGTTAAATCCAAGAAGAGGGTCAACAGAACCTCTGATCTATAGCCAGTCAGTCAGAAGTACCTGAGCTTGTGGTTGGAATTTGAAGAGTAGCCTTTGTGGGGCTGAGCCCTTTGTGGAATCTGATGCCATCTCTGAGTAGATAATGTCAGATTGAGTTAAACTGTAGGACACCCAGGTGGTGCCTGAAAATTGCCTTGTGATATGAGGAAAACTCCCATTGGAACTGAATACGAACCTCTTACACCGAATGTCCTTATAATTCTATTTTGGTAAGGCTGGTAGTAATGGCCATTCTACTTTCTATTAATGCCAAACTGTCTCCCAAATTGGCCCTGTCACTGCAGCTGCAGGATGAGAAGTCTATTTGGGGGTATACAGTGGGGAACAGGCATGATGTTTTAAGGGCGAGTAAATAGATAAATGCAAGGGAAAGCTTGGGGGAAGCTTTGATATTACAAAATCATGTGATTTAATGTAGAAAGCAGCAGGAAATTGGGTGAAATTGATGCTGGTTGGGAGATAGGGCAATGGACCAAGTAGGTAATCAAGCGTTTATTATCCTGATTTTTGAATTTTTGAGGGAGGGATTTAATTATTAGAGGACAATGGGGCTAAGCAGATGAACTTGTTCCTATAGAGATATTACTATGACAAATGGTAATAGTATTAATATCCAAAAATTATTAAGCACTTACTCAACATGAAATGGACTCCTGAGTTCTAATCACTGTGGATTTCACCCTACTGTTCCAAGTCTTGTTCATATTTTAACTGTATTCAGACAAACCCTATTACTGCATATATAATGGGGCAAGTCAGGTCTCAGCTGTCATTTCCTTAATAACAGCTTACATCCTTATGAGTATCTTAATGTTCTAATTTTACTAAGTGCATTAGTTTTCTGTAGCTACCGTAACAAATTTAGTGACTTAAAACAACAGAAATGTAGTCTTAGTTCTGGAGGCCAAGAATTCAAAATGAGGGTGTCAGCAGGGCCATATGCCCTCTAGAGGCTGTAGGAGAGAATCTCCCCTTTGCCTCTTCCAGTTTGGGGCCGCTGTTGGCATTCCTGAACTTCTCACTGAGTCACTACAATCTGCCTCTGTGGCCATAATGCCTCCTCCTCCATCTCAAATCTCTCTTTGATTTTCCTTATAAAAGACATTTAGCACTGGATTTAGCCACCCCTCTCTGCAGATAAGTCAGAATGATCTCATCTCCCAGATTCTTAATTATGCCTGCAAAAAATTTTTTCAAAATAGGGAACATAGTTTCCAGGAATCATAACATACATAGACAAACCTTTTGGGACATCACCATTCAACCTACTATACTAGCGGACTTTAAGTAACCTACAAATGTAAAAGAAAAGCATTTTAAAAATTTCATTTGGGTAAAAATATTGAAGGAAACATACCATAACATTAGACAGCAGAATATCAAAATCCAAAGCCTTTACATACATATATTTCATGTACAGGATTGGAAAAAGAACTCTTTGATAATAATCATATTCCAAGTAAACACAGACTTCCTAAATCTATGAATATTTAATTGCAAATATTAATACCCTATGTTACTCTTCTACATAAAGGAAAAACTCCAAATCCTGTTATTTGGAGGGCAAGCAATACCCTGAGAGTAACTCTTCCCAAATCTTCCCTTTCTTTGGGTGACTTAACATGTTACATGGATTAATTTCAAAAGGAAATATCACACTCCATTGAATTTAAGCAAAAGACACAGCTAAAATTTCCCACGGAAGGTACATAATATTGAATGCTTATCAGTGTGAATACATAAGTTAATTAAATGTTAGGTGCAAGGAAAATCCCAAAGCTATCTGGAGTATGAAAAAAAATGGCATAAATACCTAACAGTCAGTTAATATAAGCTTCGCTATTGGGTATGTTCCAGGCTTCCTTTTCTATTCCAGTGAGATCTGCCTTTTTTTTGTCCAAGGTCTTCCACTGCTGGGCTCCAATATAGTAAATTGTTTTACATCATCAAGGCCTTGGTCATAGAAAGGATTTATTTTGAAAAGAAGAAACTTCTTTCTTCTTTTTTTAAAAATCATGGTTGTTTTCTCTGCTACTTGCTTCTTTCAACTAGTTATCAACTTCCCCCTATAAGAAAAATTATAGGGCAAAAGCAAACATTCTATTTTGGCTGTCCCCCAGTGTAGTAGTTGATTAATAAAGGAGCCACTCACTCAGTCTTTTTGTCATTTGGTCTCATCTAAAGCATAAGTAAAAAGGATCAAGGTTAAAAAAGACTCATGACCAAGGTACAACTTTTACAAATATCTTTGGCCATAGAAAGCTTTATTTCTTCATCATGCCCCAAGTAAGTCTTTAATGGATCAAGAATCCCTTCCTACCTATTAGAGGACTGTAAGAAATAAATGCTTCAAAGGTTTGTTTGTAGATTCTTCAGGAGAATGGACCAAAAAAGAGGAAAACGTGTAATATAAGCAAGAGTAAACAAAGAAAATCCAACAAAATATACAGTTCACTAAAATAAGAATAGTCATTGATATAAATCCTTTATCATTCTACATTTGACTGGCTCCTTTTACTATTTAGAAATTAAGATATTTTCAGTCTTTTGCTCTCCTTTTCCACATTGTCTCTAATATTCTGGAGTTTTCTGGAGTTCTGGACCAGGAACACCAAACTGTCCCTAAAATCACTAGTCCCATGATTTCTGCCAACATTTTCAAGCTCATCAAACAAAGCCAATGTCTGCCTAAGTTTGGCCTGAACAATTTTTTGCTCTTCTAATTCTGCAAGAAGGGCCTGCTTAGTGCACAATTCAGTTTTATACTTCTCCTGTAACTGTTCAATTTCTTTTTGGAGAAGCTGGAATTCTTCTTCACTGTAAGAATGACTCTCCTGAGATTTATCTTCGGGAAGCAAGATATTTGGTGGAATACGCAAAATCCACTGTAAAAACAGCTGCTCCATTTTGACAAAAAGGTTATCAAAGCGTCCTTTCATGAAGCAAAGAAACTTCTCTGTGCATTTACGAATCTGGACTGGGCTAATCTCACAGTTTGGGATGCCATCCAGCTTCTTCAGAATAACCTGTTCAACAGCCTGCATCACTTCAAATAGGTAGTCTTGAAATGCAATGTAGATCCTAAGCATGCACGTTTGTGGTGTGAAGCCAAAGAACTGAGCCTCGTAGGTCATTGGATCAACAGACATCTTGGCTTATTCTGCTATGTTAATTTTGATTGTGAAAAATCTGTAAATGTAAAAAAAAAAAATCATTTGGTTTAAAAAAATCATCTGAGAAGAGCAACAAATCCCATTTCAGATAGAAAAGCTTGTGTTTCTTGATACCAATGCCAATTCCAGCCTCACTCACCCAAAATAGGATGCAAACTCTTGCCTCTCTGAGGCTCTTTCGATCAGCCTATCACCTCCCTTACCCTCTCATTTCCCTTACCTCTCATTTATTGTGGATTCTGGCCTGTGGCTCAGTCTTTGGAAGTCTTTAATCACCCTAAACAACGTTCAAATTTAGACAGATAACCTAGCCAGTGCCCTAAACACTCAGTTTCATGAGTTTCAACAGCTTTACTCTTTTAGCCACCTGGCTTTTGATATTTTTAACTCTCTCCCCAACTGTCCTGTTTCTTTTCAAGAAGTATTTTATTATTTATTTATTTTTAGAGAGAGGGGAAGTGAGAGAGAAAGAGAGGAGGAGAAACATCGATGTGCAATAAATACATCAATCGATTGCCTCTTGACTACTCCACCCCACCCCCGACTGGGGACCTGGCCCACAACCCAGTCGTGTGCCCTGACTGGGAATCGAACCAGTGACCTTTCGTTCACAGGCCAGCATTCAATCCACAGCCACACCAGTCAGGGCACTACTGCCCTATTTTTTTGTTCACAACTTCTTATGCTATTCTTCCAACTCATATTATACCCTAATCACATACTCATACTATACCTTAACTATCAAAACTTGTAGCCCTCTGATCCTCTCTTCCTTGCATTCAGTCCATCCCATTTCACTTCTTTCCCTATCCATTTTAGGCTACACCATCCATCACTTCAACCACTCTCTTGCCAATGTCTTCAACTCTCTGTTTTTCTAATCTAGCCATGGGGGGGAAAATCCCATTTGGAAGCTGAACAAGCCTCTTGTGAGCTCTACAACCCCAACATGTTTTTTCAAAGGTCTAGAAGTCATTACTTTAGAATGTAAACATCTAGGAAAATAGCCCTCCTATCTCCTTGTCACTGTGGGAGTTTTTAACCTGGGTACCCTTTTTTCTGAACTATAATCATATGCTTGTCATGGAAGTAATAGTTTTATTATTCCTTCAGACAGAGGCAATTAGCTAAAATAAATGGCTACCTCAAATACCAGGTGATTTTAGGATGAATTTTATGAAAGAATTTGAAGCAAATGGTGTGATCAACTCTTTTTTTAGGAAGACAAGATGCAGGTAATCTTAAAAAATTATGTAATGGCTAAAAATAGAATGGTTGTAATTGCTTGGCTGCATAAATAGAGTAGAATTTTTTTGTCTTTGTAATCTCACTTAGATTATCTACAATGTGTTGTAATCTTGATATAACTATTCAGTAATAAAACAACTTTCTTTTCTATGTCTTGTGGAAAGGAATCTCTGGGTTGGCAGGATTTTGATTTCTGCAACACTGCCCTATGCCTTCAGGATCAAGTTCAAACTGTTTTCAACATGGCTTACAAGGGCCTTCATCATTCAACCCTTACTAACCACATTTCTGTCCTCCTTAAGGACTTCACATATGCATAACTGAACTAATAATACTTCTTATTTCATGGCACTCTATTTTTAGTTCATGCCAGGTCTTCTCTTACTTTTTTATTCTTCCACCTTTTGTCTCCTACAGGAACCTACTCTAATGCCTTTTTTAAAGTTTTTAAAGTTATTTTGGAAAGACAGAGGAAAAAAATCAATTTATTTGTTGTTCCACTCATTTATGCATTCATTGGTTGAGTCCTGTATGTGCCCTACCTGGGGATCCAATCTGCAACCTCAGTATGACGGGATGACACTCTAACCAACTGAGCTACTTGGCCAGGGTAATGTTTTTAACATACACGTTTTTTTATTTATCTTTAATTTTTAGATATATATTCTTTAAAAATACAGTTTTGTATATGTATGTTTATATTTTTCTTTACATTTGCAATCTCTTCATGTTATTATATGTAAGTTTACTTCATTGGTTCTGAATGAAATATTCGAACAATGTTCTCATAAGCATATACCACACTTAATGTCCATTCTCCTTGGGACAGACACCTAGTTTGCTTTCAGCACCTTACTGCCAGAAATGATGCTGTAATAAACAACACCCTATGTCGTTTCCTTAGGGACTTGCAGGGTATTTACACAAGCAAGTAATTGCCAGCCATAGAATTTACTCATAATATCACTAAATACTGCCAAAATGTTCTCCAGAACATTGGGGGAGGGAGTGTCCTACAGTGGTTTACACTGCCACTTGCAGTATATGAGAATTCTCATATCGTAGCCAACACCTATCCAACATTACAATTTTGACCAATTTAGTAGATATAAAATTGTTTTACAATGTCGTTTTTTGAAAACCAAAACCATCTAGCTCCACACACAGGTTGGATACTGAGGACTGAAACTACCTACCTGCCCCTAAGCCAACAAAAAACTTACTGTTTACATTAGCATAACATTACTGTTCTGGGAGACCAGTGTGTTTTCACTGTTCTAATGGCTTGAACCGCACCAAACGGGAAGCATGGACGATCTGTCCCCTAAGATTCTCTGAAACCCTTGCCTCGGCTGCTTCTACCAATACTGGACTGTTACTTCTAGATAGCTCCCCAATCCTCATCAAGCCCCCAAACGGAAAATCCACCTTAAAGCAAACCTGGAATTCTCAAAAAAGTTCCGATCTTGCCTTTCTTCCCTATGACTGACACCAAAGCTCTCTCGCCGTCCTTTCTTCTCCCTTACCAGGGTAAGCAGTAAAATCAGCATTGTTTATCAACAGGTTGTGAGGGCAGTATCCGGGGAGCAGGCAGAAATATTTTTGAGTGCATTTCTCTTATTACCAGTAAAAGTGTGAAGGGTACCACTTCATACGTGTTAGTTTTTCAGGTTTCTCCTGTGAATTACCCATTCACATCTTTTTTAAAAACCACTGTCTCCACCCTTTTACTTGGTCCCTTTCTTATATATTACCAGATTATATTGTCACTCTCTATTCCAAAAACCTTCAGCGCTTCCTTTTTGTCTGTCAAGATCTGACTAATCTTTGTTCCAACCAAACCGAACTATTTTTTTCCCTGTGATATCTTTCCCTCAAGGAAAGCCGCTGTGGCCCAATATCCTTCAAGGGTCAGTTTAAATACACTTTCTCGGTGACGCACCCCTCCTCGGAACGCCATCAGGACCTTTCTTCAGGAACTGACCGAGCGCTACTTCAGGATATTATCACGGGCCTGTCTCATCTTCTCTGCTAGCCCTGGAGTTCCTGAGGGCAGGACGAAGACGGCCTAATCGATAAGTAACAATCAAGAGTAAACACTGGAGGTGCCCTGGACACCTCAAGAATTTGAGTTGACTGAGCAGCAGAAACCGCCGAGCAGGCACTGCTTCCGGCCGGAGGACCGGCTCCCGTCGGGCCCCGCAGCCCCGCTGCATGCCGGGACCTTCAGGTCCAGGCGCCGCCAGTGAGGCTGCTCCAGCGCCCCGCGAGGATGCCTAACCCAGTTCCACTCCTTCCCTGTCCTCCCCTGAGAAACTGCAGCCCCGCGGCACTTACCGAAGCGACCATGAGGGTGATAAGTTCGATCAAACAGTGGCTTCCCGCCACCTCTTTTAAACCACCTCTTGCTGCCAAGGATCGGCGGGGCGGATCGTTCCCCAATATTCCGACCGATGCTTGCCCCAGCGAACGACGGCGAAGGCGGGATGCTGACCTGCTTCTGATTGGCTGGCTATACGATCGTGAGGGAGCCGCCTAGATTGGTGACTGAAAGGGGCCGGGCGGGCAAGCTCGCTGTGGCCCGCGGGGATTGGCGTAAGGAACCTGTATTTGCTCTCTTCTCTGTGACGTAGACGGGTGAGGAAGCAAGGCCGGGGCCCGCGGAGACGCAACTCGTGATTGGTGGATGGCTTTTTTTAGGCCTCTTGCGATTGGTGGCGGGCAGGTGGCGCGGCGCCGATTGGACAGCAGTGGGCAGGGCAACAAGAGACCTCTTTAATCGCTCCCTCCCCTGCCCCCACGTTTACTAGACGGGCGGAAGGGGAAGTGGGGCGAAGGGGCTGGCCGCGAAGGGGAAGATGGCGTACCAGAGCCTCAGGCTGGAGTACCTGCAGATCCCACCGGTTAGCCGCGCTTACACCACTGCCTGCGTCCTCACCACCGCCGCAGTGGTGAGCTGCTGCACCGCCAGCTTCTCATTATCCGGGCTGGATATGATCGGTCCTCAGGAAACTGGGGTTTGGGCCTCAAGGAAGCCCAGATGGGCTGGTCTCAGGGGTCGGTGGAGGTGGACAGGACTCACTTTGGGATTCGGAATTGCTTTGAGAGTGCTTATCCGGTGACCGGAGAAGGGAGTGCTACTGCAGGAGGGGTGGAGGATCAGGACTGCAGGTCAGTTTCGGAGAGATGAAGGCCAGACGTATAGCAAGTCGGGGCAGCGGGAGCCGTCCACCCAGAAAACACGTGTGAGAACTCTGACGATGGCCAAGTGCTGCCTCGGTGACTAGTGGGGGTGGGCGGGGGGGCGGGAAGAATCTGCTTATGAATAGTCTTAGATACCGACGATAGAAAGCTGGAACTTGTCGAGAGGGAAGAGTCTTGAAATAAAGAGCGTGAATATAGAGGATGTCTGGAAGCACCCAGCCCTGGCGCTGGCAGGGTCTTGCATCTCGGTTCTTTTGAGAGAGTTGTGTTACTTCACCCACCTGTTTTAGGTGATGCCCATGTGATGGGCAGATTCATAGCAGTTGCTCTTTACTTGCCCTATATCTAAGAGTGATTTGCTTTAAGGAGTTCTTTTTCTATTTCAGCAGCTGGAATTGATCACACCTTTTCAGCTGTACTTCAATCCTGAATTAATCTTTAAACACTTCCAAGTAAGTGGTCCATCACAGCCATGATTGTTTCAGTTTTTAAACTTGTTTTTCTTTTTAGTAGCAAATCCTGCCATACACTCCCTCAAAAAAGAATTCAGTGGGAATATTTGCTTATACGTCTTATTGTGAGGGTATAAAGCAGTGATTCTGCAGCCTAACTGGGCTTCAGAATCACCTCGGGGATGTTTAAGTGATTCTCAAACTCCTCCTCATGTACCAAATCAGAATCACCAAGGGTAAGACGTAAGAATCTGTATTTACTTACTTTTTTTAAGTTCCCTGCATGGTTTTGATTTGATGTGTCCAGTTCCTATATTAAGGAATCACTAGTTCAAAGTTAATATTGTATTTGAGAGGAGACTGACCAGAGAGCTACCCAGGGAGACTCTCACAGGGTCCCCTTATTTTGTGCAGTCACCACCCGGCACACCCACCACCTTGGTGTTATCACCATGGTCTAGTTCAGAAATTCAACTCTATCGGTGCTTTTTTATTTTATTATTTATTTTCATATTACAAGAGAAAGCCTATTTAGAAAGTTACAGAAGTAGTAGAAGTGAGCCAGCTGGGCTGCCTAGGGAACAAGTTACAGAGGCAGAGAAAGGATCTTGGAGCTTAGGAGAGAGAACAAAGGTAACTTGCCTGGGACAAAGAAGTGGAGGAAGGGAAAGGCGCAGGCCTGGTCCCAAGAGGGAGAGCGCCTCAAGTCTATTAGTGCTTTTGAATTGCTCCTTCTTCCAGGGATCAGGTCATACTGACAAAAGTCCAAAAGACCGACATCTTAAACAGCATGCCAGTTTATTAGATTATAGTGGGGGAATACTCCTTTCCAGTAATTAGAATACTAAAAGATGTATTTTTCTGCTCAGGATGTTTATACAGGCTATTGTTGGGGAGAGAGAGACCTAAAAACCAGTAATTCTGCCTCTACACCTTCTATTTCCTATTTCAAATGTGTTTCATTCACTTTAGACCAATTGATCTCCAGCTTGCCTATCAAAATACAGCTTTTGTGTAACCTTAGATTCGTTCTCCTTTGTGTCCCTAGAGTATCTGTCAATGCTTCTTTCAGAGCATCTCTCATCTCATACTTGCTCTTATTTATATGCTTGCCTCTTCACTGGGTTGAGGACTCTTAAAATTTTGGATGCAGTTAGTATGTAGAACTGAATTGTTTCAACATTAATAAATACCAATTCTTAAGAATTTAATGGTGCATAAAGCAGTCCTGTGGACTCTTGTCACTGTCTTCCTTCCTTTGAAATGGCCTTTGCTGGGAGCTGTATAGCTCCATCCAGGCATTGCCTCCCAGTTAATACTTGCTTGGCTTGATTTTGCCTGGCGTTAAACCCTTGATACTATGTATCTGCATTAGGAGTTGCAATTTTCAGGTTTGAGTTCAGTCTCCTTTACAATTTATATATCCCTGGGCAAGTCATTTTAAAAGTACTTAAAGCTCTTAGTTTTCTTATTTGTGAAATGGGGATGGCAGTAGCAGGATTGAGATCACATGGGATAATAGAATATGTTAAAAACACTTTAAAATGTTAAGTGCTCTACCATTGTGAGAAGTTGTTTTTATTGTGTGGGTTGGGTAGGTAAGAGTATATCTACCCAACAAGAAAAATGAGGATTCTTATATCTATCAATTATAGAATTCAGTGAATAGAGCATTAGGTCTTTACTTGTAGGGAGTTCGCTATTTGTTCAGACTGGAACTTGAGTATTTGCTTTATAATTATTCTTTACTGTGGATGTTTTGGACTACCTAATATAGAAACATTTTTTTAGCAATTTATATTAGATCCCTGGAGTTTTTTTCTGATAATGCAAGACTGTTCATTAGATTGTGATACTACAAAAGGAAAGCACTGTTTTTATTATGCAAATTAACCTTGTCTTTCCATCAAAGTTTTTCCATAATTTGTCTGACCATGTTAAGGACAATCACAATTTTAAGTTTTCTGTCCTATTATCCTTACACACTTCAGGGGCTCCGTGACATCATTCATATTTTCAACTAGAAGCAGCCCAAAATCCAGCGTCAAATTTTATGCCCCATCTTTTGGTTCAGATCATAGTATCACATATCCATGACGTTCAATATTGTAGTCAGAGGATATCTCTTTTGTCTTAATATGGAAATGTTTCCTGGTATGTTTTACTCAATTTATCTTTCTCTTGATTTTTTTTCTTTTAACAGATATGGAGGCTAATCACCAATTTCTTATTTTTTGGGCCAGTTGGATTCAATTTTTTATTTAACATGATTTTTCTGTATCCTTTATTAAGTGGGGTTAGCATAAAAACTTTAGGTTTACTTAGGACATACAATATTAAGTTAAAACTATTAATCCTGTTATTTTTGTTCCCAATCTTAGCTGTAACTTCTAGGTACTGGCTCAGTGGTGCATAGAGTAGTTGGTGAGGTAGTAATGTTTTGATGGTGTCTCTAAGTCCCTGTTGGTTCAAAGGGGAGGTACTTAACCATAAAATGATTCAATTTCTCCCCATAAGTCACTAGTAAATCTGATCAATTGAGAGGAATGATTTAATTCAGTTACAAGATAACATCAGCAGATACAGTGATAATTAACAGTTCTTTGGTTGGTTTGTTTTGATAATTAACAGTTTTGATAGAGGTTTGGGAGTGGGTTGATAAGAAATGGAAACTTGAAATCGTGTATCTTAGTTACTTGTTCTACTGGATGAAAAGACAGTGCCCTAATGTCGGCTGGGCTTGCCATGTTCCGGCTTCTTGAAAGACGGTTGTGCTCTGGTCCTGTGGTAGTTGGGGCTACTGAGCAGAGAGCTTTCTGCTCCACTCTGACCCTCTGGAAAGGGCAGTTACAACTCACCTCATCTGCAGTAGACAGAGAGCCTTGTAGGTGTGACAGGATTCCTACCCTTGGATGGATTCCTCTGTCGCCTAAATACTACATTATTCTGGTAAGTTTCTGATAATTTTTTTATTGTAACAAAACTTCATTGACTGAGATATGGAAATGCTTAATCTGCCTGGCCTGAAGAAGTAGATTATCACGCAGGGGTTCTTGATGGGTATTTCTTCTAAATTAGGTTGTGAAAAAGTGATACAGATTGTGTGGCAGAGCATGAAAAAGATGATACAAATTTTAAAAAGGTGTAATAGGTGGCTGGAAGCATGTGTATGCAACATCTGGCTCATTTCCCCAATTGGGAAGATTTTGTAAAACATAGTTGACTAAAATGTAAAAGAGAAGTAACAATACTGCTACTCATAAATGTTCTTTCAGAAAAAAGGCTTGACTTACAAATAACGTGGAGTCCAAGTGTACCTACATGATATATTAAATTTTACTTTCTTCATATTTGTATGCTTAACATTTTCTTAACTTGGAACCTAAGATATCGTTACTGTCGAATGCTAGAAGAAGGCTCTTTCCGAGGTCGGACAGCAGACTTTGTATTTATGTTTCTTTTTGGTGGATTCTTAATGACTGTATCCTTCAACAAATAGAACAAACACAAGAAAATGCTAACACCCTCTCTCTTCCTAGTTTCTCATCTGTCTCCCACAATTCACTGAATATCCCCAAACAGACCAACAGATTTTAGCCTCAGTGTACTAATATTTATTTCATAGCACGCTTTATGGACAACTTTCTAAGCCTAGAGGTTAGACAAGATGCTTTTCTTTTCCTTTTTTTTTTTTTTTTTTTCCACAAGATGCTTTTCTACTGGGAACAAGTCAGAGGGACTTTTAACCCAGGTGGGTTACTGTTATGTATCTGAGATACACTATTGTTCATGGGCATACCTCACTTTTAAAAGATTAAGTTGGTAAGACACTTACTTGGTTACTCCCAAAACTGATACATTATTTAAGAAAAAAAGAATTGTTGACCATGTAGCAAACTTGAATGTAGTCCTGTCTGACAAGGTGGTTTTGCTCCAGCTGGCTTTATTCACCTCTGTAAAGGTGCTAATAGTGAGTGAACTTCAATGCAATTATTGACCAAATAATTAACACATTTTCCAAAAAGGCAAGAACTTCATGAATCCAGAATAACAGTTTGAAGTCCAGATGATTTGGCCTAAGCAGGTTTTTGCCTGATTGCTCTGGGAAATTATTTTCAGGATTTTTTCTTCCAAAGATGTAAGTAACTGCTCTGACCAGCGTGGCTAAATCGGTTGGGTATTGTTCGGCAAAGCTAAGGTCGCTGGTTTGATTTCCCAGTAGGGGCACATGCCTGGGTTGTGGGTTTTGTCCCAGTGAGGAACCTACCGATGTTTCTCACATCAGTGTCTTCCTCTCCTTCTCCCTTCCCTTCTCTCTAAAAATAAATAAGGTAAAACCTATTTTTTAAAAAACAGATGTAATTAATGCTCAGCTTTCCTAATTTGAACTTTTGTGGGAGCATAATTCTTTGTTCTCTTGCCCAGTCTCCCCTATGACACTTGTAATGTTGATATTTTCCTTAATGCCATCTGCTAGATTTTTGGTTTGTTTGTGAGCTTAGTTTTCTTGGGCCAGGCCTTTACAATAATGCTTGTCTACGTGTGGAGCCGAAGGAACCCGTATGTCCGCATGAACTTCTTCGGCCTTCTCAATTTCCAGGCCCCCTTTTTACCCTGGGTGCTCATGGGCTTTTCTTTATTGTTGGGGAACTCAATCATTGTGGACCTCTTAGGTAAGAGTCTTACCACTATTTCTGTGATTCTACTTATAAACTTATTCTGTCATTATTTTTCTTGTTTATTCTGTTTGGCCTTCATATAATATCTATTATGGAATTATTTCATAGTTATATGCTACAAGACTGTGATATTAGGTTTTTAATTCTCACTAATTATATTGCTATTTCTTCCTGAATATAAGGAATTTATGTTTGTGTATTCACTTGCAATTGAAATTTTAATCCTCTCTCTCCTTTATTTCTGGCTGACTTTAGGTATTGCAGTGGGACACATATATTTTTTCTTGGAAGATGTATTTCCCAATCAGCCTGGTGGAATAAGAATTCTGAAAACACCATCTATTTTGTGAGTATCGAAACCAGGTTGTATGTGTTTTGCAGATAACCTGGGACAGGTCCCTGATCAGTGGGCAGGTCAGTAAATATTTGCAGACTGAGTGGCCCACCTGCGGCTGAGGAGCATTGGGGTCAGTAGGAACAGACGGCAGCAGAGTCGGGGCAGGAGGGAGGTTAACCGGCCCGGCACGGGGGTGGGGGGCGCTGCCCTGCAGGGTGACCACTCACCCCTCCTTTCCCAGAGCGGAGCCTGTTGGTGTTAGGAAAGCTGCGGAGTTTTTGAGAATATAAAAATAAAAAAAGAAAACTGCTGAGTTTAGAGAGGTGAGGTAGCAAAATGGGCAAAACTGACTAGAAGAACGTTTTTAATGGTGGAATATCTGGCCTTCCAAACAAGTGGTAGAGAGAAGCAGTAGAAGGGAAATAGCTTTGGGCTAGAAGCCAGGTGCAGGCTGTTCACCAACCAGCCAAGTCCCTTCCTTTTTGCACTTCATTTTTCCTGAGAATGCAGCTTTCATAGGACCTCTTTCTACTCCAAAATTTTGTGTCCTTGAGATACACTGCATTAAAAAGGGTTCACTTGAGGAATAAAATGTGAGTTTCTATTATAAAGTGTTGGTTGTAGAATAGTTAAGCAAAACAAAGAGTCAGATCTTCCTTAATTTCATCATTTACTAACTTTTTCATGTGTTCTGCAGTCTTATTGTCTGTATACTTTTTTAAAATGCTTTTTCATAACATTCTTTTTAAGTAATATATGTCATAATTTTTCATATAAATGTCCTACTAAATTGTGACAGCTGCATGAAACCACGTGACATGAATGTAGCATAATTTTATGAGTAGACTTTTTTTTTAATTTATTGACTTCAGAGAGAGTAAAGGGGAGAGAGAGAGAAACATGATTTGTCGTTCCACTTATTTATGCATTCACTAGTTGATTCTTGTATGTGTCCTGACCGGAGATCGAGTCTGTAGCCTTGGTGTATCAGGACAATGCTCTAACCAACTGAGCTACCCAGCCAGGGCCTAATCCCTTATTGATGGACAGTGGCATTAGCGCTTGCTTTTCCCTTCTATAATTGGAGTGATGAATATCCTTGTAGCTAAATCCTAGCGTACACCTATGATTATTTTCAAATATTAAATTCCTAGAAGTGAAATTTCTATTTTGTTGCTAAATCGCCATCCAGAATGGATGTTCAGGTCTACGTTTCTACCAGCACTGTGTAGGTGTCTGTTTCCCCACATTCTTGACAAACGTAGAGGTATTATGTTTACTCTTTCCTAGTTTGATAGCCATAAGATGGCATACAAAGGACTTTTTTTCCCTTAGGTATTTGAAAGTAAATTGTCAGTCTAATGCCCCCTGACTCCCTTTAATGTGTATTTTCTATAAACAAGAACATTCTTCTACAGTCAAAAACAGGAAGTGAATGTTACTCCCCTAACACAATTCCAGACTTGGGAATTGTCCCAATAATAATCTTTATAGCAAAAGAACGCAGCTCAGCTTCAGGAGTTGCATTTAGTTAGTCTCCTTTAGCATGGAACAGCTCTCCAATCTCTCCTTGACTTTCATGACATTGACTTTTGTAAAGGTTATAGGCCCATTTGTGGCATATCTCTCAATCTGGGTTTGCCTGGTATTCTCTCACATTTAGGTTTAGGTTTTGCATCTTTGGCAGGAATGTCAGAAAAGCGATACTGAACCCTTCTAATTACAGTCTATTAGGCCAGGATTTAAGTTTGTTGAACTCCTCCAAGTGGTAGTAGTTGCTTTGATTCCTTCATTAAAGGTATCTCTGAGGCTTCTTCACTGTTTTCTCTATAAGTAGCATGTATTGCTTTTTGTTTTAAAAATTAGTAGAGGAGGTAAAAGCTAATGTAAATATGAAATAATTATGAATACCTTCAAAATATGATAACTTAGGCCAAATCATCTGGACTTCAAATTGTTATTCTGGATTCATGAAGTTCTTGCCTTTTTGGAAAATGTGTTAATTATTTGGTCAATAATTGCATTAAAGTTCACTCACTATTAGCACCTTTACAGAGGTGAATAAAGCCAGCTGGAGCAAAACCACCTTGTCAGACAGGACTACATTCAAGTTTGCTACATGGTCAACAATTCTTTTTTTCTTAAATAATGTATCAGTTTTGGGAGTAACCAAAACTGATTGGGGATGGGGAAAGGTAGAAGAGGGGACGGGGGATAAATGGTGACAGAAGGAGACTTGGCTTGGGGTGGTGAACACACAATATACAGATGATGTAATACAGAATTATACACCTGAAACCTATATAATTTTATTAACCAATGTCACCCCAATAAATTCAACAACAAAAAACATAACTTTTTCATTGGCAGACAGATGTAATGCTTGTCCATAGGTAGAAACCCCAGGGATCTTTTTGACCTTGAAGTATCTAGGACCTAAAATGACTGTGGAACTAAGTTATATCTGTTTCCTGTCTTTTAGGAAGGCTATTTTTGATACACCAGATGAGGATCCAAATTATAATCCACTGCCAGAAGAGCGGCCAGGAGGCTTCGCCTGGGGTGAGGGCCAGCGCCTCGGCGGGTAAAGCGGCAGTGCCAATAATGGACCCAGCTGGGAAGGACTAAGTGAATCATCCATTGGGATTCTTCTATCCTTTGTGTTGCAAAAGTGTGGACACTTTTGACAGCTTGACAGATTTTAACTCCAGAAGCACTTTATGAAATGGTACACTAATCCAGAAGACATTTCAAGCAGTTTGCCAGTGATTCCTCACTGCTCTGGTACTGAAAGTGTAATCTCTTGGAGCCAAAAAACTGGAGAAGCAAACACCCCGCCACCTCTAGTGCACAAGTACATGAGTACTTGAGCTCTGTGGTGTAAGGCAGAGCTTTTTTCCTCCTCCTCTTCTGTGATAGACGAGGCCATGGTGTAAATGGAAGTTTCAGGGAGGACAAAATAAAACTGAATTCCATCTCTCTCTCACTGAATTAGAGCTTTTGTGTGTGATCTTTTAAACGGTGATACTGTATTCCAGCTCTCCTGCATAGGTGTGAACTTGGAGCAGTTTCCAGGCCCACGCTTCCTGTGTCTCCACAGCTTTCAACGGGATTCCATTTCAAGACTGGAAACGTGGCTATAATATGCACATCTTACTAATTCAGAATGCCAGCTCCAGTAGGAAGAATTGTTTCTGTTGTCCAGATAGTTTATTCTCATTGGGGTTTTACAAAACTTCAAGTTGTCAGACCACGTGGAAAAAAGGGGTTCGGGGCAGGGTGGTTCTTCCAAGCAGCAGGAATTCAGCTCCAGGAGAGCCCAGCTACAGGCAGAAAGTTAGTGTGACATCTGACTCCCTACGCCTGCATTTCTCCATTGAGAACTCCAGAGGAAGACAGAGGCCGCCTTCTTGTGAAGCAACAGAAAGATCTTTAGACCTAGAAAACAAGTTAGAATGTTGACTTCGGAGCCAGATAAGCAGGTAGCAGTTAGGCAGGGTTACATTTCTCCTGGGACTTTGGCTGATTAACATTTGTCATTTGCTTCGTGAAAAGCCAAGAAGCTTTTCAGAGCCAAGTACCTGGTTTACCTTCCCAATCAGGTAGAAATTAGATGGGTTCTGCAGAAATAAGAACTTAATGCCTGTGGTTCAATCCTTATCCAAAGTAGTAACTTGAGTGGGTCTCAGCAGGTTGGTGTTCATGTTGCCTAAGTCATTCCGGGAGCCCAGAGGACTAAAATGGACACCCTCAGAAAAGAGATTATTTGAAATAGTTTTGATAAACAGCATGTAGGCACAAGACTATTTCCTAAGTAGTTGCAGACTTGAAGTGGTAGAATATGAGATTTCCCTCAGAAATGAAGGTTTAGATTAAACACAATAAACATCCTAAATGGGAATTTTCATAGTGTTTGTGAAGTGAATAGTATTTTAACATCTGTCAATGGAATATGCATAAGGAATGGAATTTAACATGCTGCTAGTTGGTAATTTTGAATATGATTGTTGCAATTTTATAGAATATGGGTTAATGGGACTGCTTTTTTTCCTGAGTGGTTTAAAAACTTTAAATGCCAATCTTGGAATACATAATCCTTATGGGATTCTTAAATTGTCATGTCTTTGTTCAAGAAAGCTTGAATTTAATTAGAAAGGGTTTTTTTATATTGTTTACTTTGGGACTAGAAATGGGTTTCTCTAGTTTTATTTGTTCTCCTTCAGTTAACTGAGTTACCCCATTCATGGAATTTTTGTGGTAAAATTTTAATCCCAAAATCTATTCACTGACTGTTCATTTACATAAGGAATGTATGTACATATTAATGATTACATAAAACAGGAAGCCAGTTTTGAATTTATGGCCTAAACACAGTCGGTTATGGGACTTCGATTTCTCTGATGGGATGAGAATTCCTAGTGGCATGATGCCAGACGGTGCTGCTTCCCTGTGCCCTGGGCAGCGGTCATCTCAGTCACTGACCTCTTAGCAGCTTGGCCGATCCCACTACTACCATCCCTAGCCCTGTGTTGCGTAACAGCTTACCTAGGCGTACCTGACCACACGGAAAGTTCCTTATTTCCAACTTACCTCTCAGTCTTGATTCTTCCAGAACACCCTTTTACATTATGCAAGTCAACTGAAAAATGAGATTCAGTATATGGAATTTTGTGACCAATTTACCTGACGTAATTTAAGGGATTCCTGGATTCTACCAGTAACATTCAAAAGCACACCTAACTAAGGCATAGTTTTGTTGTTATTGTAGAAATACAATATACGTTCATTTTTTTAATGGACGTGTAAATTGCATCTCCCTAGGAGATAACATTTTATATACATTTTGTGTGTTTTTTTCACTATGGGTTTCTATTTGTTTCTCTCTTCCACTTGTTCTTTCTCTGTGTCGCTCTTATATGTCCTAATACCTTTCATACCTCTTGTGTAGCATTTCTAAGCAGAGGGCACCCAAGTGTTAGATTTTGGTAATGGATCCCCCGGTTCTCTCTCTGGGGTCTGTGTAAATTAGGAAATACTGGAGCTATTGGCATGTCACGTAAGAGGCTTTCTAGATAGCCTATCCTTGTCTATCCTTGATAGCTTGTATTTTATGTTGCGGTTGTGTTTTCCTTTGACAGGTGAGTGCCATCTGTGTTGTAGTCACAATATGCCACTGTTTCTAGTGTTGTGTAGGATGTCCCCTAAGTTATTTGCATATTATATGAATTTGCATTAAAGTTGTTGAATTTTTTATGGTCAAGTCACTTCTCTGCTCAGAAATGCACAATGACTTCTTATCCCCCATATCAAATGCATACTTTTTTTGTCTCCTCTGGACTTTACTCCCACTTGTATGTAGCAGGGACCTCAGTTTAAGTCTCTTCAGTCCTTCAAGGCCTGGCCCTTTTCCTGGCTCCTTCAGAAATCTTGACTCTGAGGCCCAATTAATTGTCTTTCTGCTTTGAATTCCTGTAAAGCTTCAAGTCTGTACAACATACTCTTACACCAAATCATATGTTGTCTTGTACTGTTTCAAGCTGGTACATGTGTATTAGTTTTGTCTCCCTCACGAGAATGTAAGCTCCTCAAGGGCAGGGACCATGTCTTAAATTTTTGTATCCACCACAGTGCCTAGCACAGTGCTTGGCACATATGTGCTGAATAAATACTTTGTTTATTGATCAGCAAACTATTACCTGGTATTTTTAACTAAAGAGGGATTGAGGTATGTGCGTGCAAACCTCTAGCTAGTTGCTGAGGCTTATGGTTATCTTAAAGCAGGCTAGAACAAAACCAAACATGATCAAGGGCAGTGGTTTGGTGGTCAGATAAGCCAAGGAGCAACAGTGACCGCCAGCAGCTGGTATGATCATAGTCAGAACGGACACTTCTGTCCACAGACCATCCCAGAGCAGTTAAGAATGAAATGCGTTTAAGAATTCACCTTTTGAGGGGTTGGACCGGGCAGGAGAGAGCAATGGGGGGAGGGAGGAATCTGGACAACTGTAACTGACCAACAATTTTAAAAAATTCACCTTTTGAAATGAGATCAAATATTTGAATAGTTGTCAGCTTGTCATCATCTGCACGTGAAAGCCATTTAACCACAGGATACTTTTATTGTGAAGGGAGACAGATTTCAGACTGCCAGTAATGTGGGGGTTGGGAGGGTAGAGGAAATGTGTGTAACACTGCCGGATGCCAATATAAGATTTTATTTTTCAACTCTTTCAGACTGCAGAATAGCTGGGTTATTAGGCCAGAGGTTATGGATGAGTTGCCTACATAATGGTTTATTTTGTCTGCACCATTAAAAAAAATTTTGGTCCTGGCTGGTGTGGCTCAGTGGATTGAATCGCAGCAGCCTGTAAAATGAAAGGCCGCCAGTTGGGTTCCCAGTCAGGGCACAGGCCTGAGGTGTGTGCCAGGTGCCCCATTAGGGGTGTGCAAAATTTCTCTCCCTCTCTGTCTCCCTGCCCCATCTCTAAAAATAAGTAAAATCTTTAAAAAAAATTTTTTTGAGCCAACATTTAAAATGAACAGATTTCACATGAAAACCATTTTTTTACTTTCCTTGGGGAAAAAAAAAATGGAAGATCTGGCAATAACCAGCCTGCATGGCAGCAAGAGACAGGGAAAGTTCTCTATCAAGATATTATTTCACTCATTATCTACATGGACTCATCATTTGGAACATAAATCTCCATAAGCTTACTCTGGAAATCATACTGGGAAAAAGAACTGAGATCTGTCTTTTACATAGGCAAGGCCTATAATTTGAGAGTTAACAGTTATTGCTATGGTCTAAATATTTGTGCCCCCCTCCCTAAATTCATTTGTTGAAATCCTAATGCCCAGAGTGATGGTATTAGGAGGTAGGGGCCTTTGGGAGGTGCTTAAGTCATGAAGTAGAACCCTCATTAATGGGATTAATGCCTTATGAAAAGGCTCCAGATAGATCCCAATCCCATTCCTTCACAGGACACAGCAAGAAAGCATAAGCCTCCCCCAAAGACATCATGTTGCCTTGATCTTGGGGGGCTTCCCAGCCTCCAGAACTGTGAGCGATTGCTTTCTGTTGTTTGTAAGTCACCTAGCCTGTGGTACTTTGTTTTACCAGCTGAACAGACCAAGACAGATTTTCCTTTTTAGTTTTGGGTTGCCTTTCTAAATATTTAAGGGTAAGAAGTAAAATTTTGTCAATTCTTAAACATATCTGCTGTTAGGGCAACATGTAAATTTTCAGTACTCCTGGTCAGTATACTGTCAGCAACTAGAGGAAAATTACGTCAGACCTTGAGGAAAGGGGAAAGAGGATTTTTAACAGGTTCACAAATATGAGTTGCAAGGAGATGAACTTCACAGGATGTCCAAAGTCCTCCATGTGTGTTGAAGCTTATGATGAATTCTTTGGAAATAATTTCTTGTACACAGAGTGAAGGAGCTGCTTGCCGGTCTTTCTGTGGATTAAAAAATCATCTAAGAGCTTTGAATTTAGGAGGGGATGGAGAAACTAGTTGTAACCTATTTTCCCTGCTAGAGTTCTGAATCTTTTCATTAATTGGCATTTGTGTGACGGGGGTTGGGAAGCACTGTAGAGAACTTCAGAGTCTGGCAGAAATAGTTGGAGAAAAGAAGGGTAAAAACAAAAACCATTTTAGTTTCATTAAACTCCCTCTTTCCTTGCTCGTATTGCAGGAGCAGACCACATCCATTGGGACAGTATTTTCTGAGGAGAATATATGACTGTTACAGGATATATCATATAATGCTTTCCTCTTCAGCAATACAAAATGACCACCAGTGTCCTTTTCAATATTCTAATGTTGTGGCATCTGAAGGACTTTAATCTCAGAGGCTCGGTTTCTTTATCCGAAAATTGGGGATAATATCAGTATCTACTATGTAATATAAATTGTCATGCAGAGGTGTCAAAACGTTTGGCGCCTCTGCGCCACACTGGAAGAAGAGTTGTCTTGGGCCACACATTAAATAAACACTAACGAAAACAAAAAAGTGTCATAACGTTTTAAGTAAATTTATGATTTTGTGTTGGGCCCCATTCGTAGCCATCCTGGGGGCCTTCCAGCCGCAGGTTGGACACCCCTGGCAGAGGATTAAATAATGCAAATGTTTGTGTGTTCCTAACTGATCTTACAAAATTGAGCACTTTCCTTGAAGAACAAGTATTATTGTGGGCAGCAAAGGGGAAATGCGTGTTTACTAGAGTTAGTATTACCAGTACGATAAAACTGAAAGATCGCTTTATTACGCAAGGTGACGGTCTCGTGGAACCGTACACCCGGTCTTTTGCTGTTCTCGCTCGGTGCCTTTACGTTGTTGTACCTCGGGTGCTCTGCTCCCCGCGCTCAGGAAGTGAGAGCCTTCCCAAGCTCCCAGTGCATGCTGGGAGTTGCAGTCCCTTCCTAGAGGCTAGGCGAGGGCGTGAGGTCTTGGGTGGTCGCCGGGAGTCGCTAGCGAGCAGCAGAATAGGGGCGGTGCGTGTTGGCTGGGGGCTCCCAGGAGCTGCGAAGCTGCCTGCCCTCGCTCCTCGCGTGGCCGTGCCCTGCCGATATGCCCGAGGAGGCGGGCTTTCCGCCGGCTAAGAGATTCCGGCAGGGCTTTGGGCCTCCGAGCCACGCCGGGTCCTGCCCTCCCGCGAAGCGAGTGGTAATGCTGCTGAGCGCGGGCGGCGGTGGCGGAGGAGGAGGCCGGCGGCGGCAGCCGCCCCTGGCCCAGCCCTCAGCCAGCCCCTACCCCGAGGCTGTGGAGTTCCAGCGCCGGAGTCTGCCCATCTTCCAGGCCCGGGGGCAACTGTTGGCCCAGCTCCGAAACCTGGATAGCGCCATCCTCATCGGTGAGTAGCCGCGCGGCCAGGTCCTTCCCTGTTCTCGGTTCCTGGCTCTGCGAGCACAGTTTTTCTTAGGTGCGTCTTGCCCCCTTTCATTTGTTTCTACGACGAACCTAACCGCCTTTGCTGGGACAGACCCGGAGAGGGGCGTCGTAGGAGTCGGATAGCCCGGCTCTGGAGGCGCTCACGGCCGGGTGGGAGTGACCGAGATAGTAGGCAGAGACCCACGGTCTGTGTGAAACGGTAGAAGGGCATCCCGGGGGCTTTGGGAACTTACAAGGGTGCTCTGAGCCAGTCGGAGAGAAGGCGGCAGGGGGCAGGTGGTTCCCAAGGGAGATCGCCTGCTGCGTGAGAGACAACGTGGAGGCAAAAAACAGTCCTGCCTGATGGAAAGTACAATAGTAGTTCCTGGTGCACGAACTAAAAGGCAGAGTTGTAATTGGGAACTGATTACAAGGAGCTTTGATCCCCAACGTTTAAGTCAGAGGAGCTTCTGAAGGACCGAGAGGATGAACCTCCAAAGAGAAGAAGGAACCCAGAAGAGCCTATGACCAAAGGAATAGAGTTACAAGGAACAAGAAGAGGGGAATGAACAGATGCAACAATGAGGTCCAGTGATATATGGACCCCAAAAATGCCCACTAGATTCGAACGGAAGGTATTGGTTGTGGATCCCATTGAGTGCTATTTCAGCCCAGCTGTGGGTAGGAGCTGATTTGTCACTGGGCTGAGGATATTGAAGAGGTGAGGGAATGAAGGTAGAGGGAGCAGGTTTCTGTTTTGAAGGCGAGGGGGAAAAGGGGCTGAGAGGAGCTTGCAAGTATGTCTTTGTAGAATGGGTGGAAGAACTCAGTAGAGAGGGAGGCCAAAGATGAAAAGTGGGCACTTATAGAGGTGAGGCCAGGGGGCATGGGGACAGGGGCACTTGGCAACAAAGGCCAGAAGCAGAATTGGTCTTTCATTTAATGAAGAATGTCCAAGAGGCCGGGGGGCTGCAGAAAGGAGGTGAGGGTGGGTGTCACTTCAGAAAAGCTTGCAGGGGGAGGTAGAGGAGATCACATTCGAGGACTTCTCTTTTTCTATGAAATACGCATAGGAGCTCTGCTGAGAGTGGGAGTTTCAGGGCCCCGAGTAGGCCCTTGGGGAGGATGAGGACAGAGGACAGGCTGCAAAAACAAGACAAGGATCAATGGTAGTGCTGGTGCCCAGGTCCATTTGGCCCCACTACAAACTCAGGTCCTCATCTGCACCGTTGGGTTATTTTACTTTATCAATGCTCAGTTGCCTGGCGTAGGAGCAGAAGAGATGGACAGGGAGACATTGATCCAAGTTTGGAGTTTTGCCTGGTGGATTCAGCAGGAGGAGTGCAGAATAATCAAATTCTTAGTCTGTGATCTTGGCTAGAATTGGAAGAATGAGCAGTCAGAGGGGAGAAAATGGAAGAATAATGGGGCTGTAGGAATGTGAGGTCAAAGACGTGTAATTGGAGGAAAGAGGGAAAAGATGTACAGGGTTACTGAATCCTTTGTTCTCAGTAGGTACTGCTAAAAGGAACCCATGAGGGAGAAGATAACATTGGGTGCTTACTGTACACAGGGTGCTTAAGTACATGGAAGAGACAGGCAGCTCTCTGCCCTCCAGAAGCTTCTGGGATTAGAGGAGGATAGAAACGTTTAAATACATGCAGACAGTGTCGGTTGGCCAGCTGAAAGAGGGATGAGCAAGGCACTAAGGAGCACAGTGGAGGCTGCCAGCACAGCCCCAGCGGGGAGAGTTTAGGTCTAGCGCATCCTGTAGAGTTTGCCAGGCAGACATCCTGATAGTGGGGGCAAAGGCCGAGACCAGTGCATGGTGAGGAGTTTGTTATGGCTGCAGTATATGATTGGATGCCCTGTATCACAACATATGAATCTCACTTATTCTTTTGAAAAGTACAGCATTTTAATATTACAATTGTATTTCATTTTATGTTTTTACTCTACCTATTGGTGAATGTTTATATTGTTTCCAGTTTTTTCCTTTCATGAATAAAGTAGAATAAAACATCTTTGAAGCTATATACTTAAGTACATTGTTAATTATTTCCTTAGAATCAGCTCCTGCAAGTGGAATTGCAGGTCAAAGGGTATAAACATTTTAAAGATTTTTCTGATAAATTTGGCCTTCTGAGGAACAATTCCAATTAACACTCTACCTACAGTATTTGTGAGAGTACTGAGCTTCCTATGACTATATCAACTTAGAGTATATTCTTTTGACTTTGATACATTTGTTTGGTGAAATTTGTTTCAGTGTGTATTTAAATGAGACTTTTTTTCTTTTTTAGGGGAAACCGGCTCTGGGAAGACAACTCAGATCCCTCAGTACCTCTATGAAGGAGGGATTGGTCGCCAGGGCATCATTGCTGTGACCCAGCCTCGTCGGGTGGCAGCCATCTCTCTTGCCACTAGAGTCTCAGATGAGAAGAGAACTGAACTTGGGAAGCTGGTACATAATTTCCTTCTGTTTCTTTTTCATTTTTTTAAAGATTTTATTTATTTATTTTTAGAGAGCAGAAGGGAAGGAGAAAGAGAGGGAGAGAAACATCAGTGTGTGGTTGCCTCTCATGTGTACCCCACTGGGGGTGTGGCCTGCAACCCAGGCATGTGCCCTAGACTGGGAATTGAACCAGTGACCCTTTGGTTCACAGGCTGGCACTAAATCCACTGAGCTACGCCAGCCAGGGCTAATTTCCTTCTCTATGAACATTTCTCCCTCCCCTGCCATTTATTTTTCTGAACAGGCTTTCTTATACATAGTGACCTTTTTTCTTGCCACAATCGTTTAGGCCTGTCTCAAAGTTCTTTACCAGTTCCTAAGAGATCAGAGGGTCTGACAGGCTATCAGTCCAATCTGCTTTGCTTTCAAAATCTGTTGGCAAGTTGGATAAATTAGTTGTTTTCCTTGAGTGTTTTTACGACTTCAGTAATCTCTGTTAAATCTCTTAGCTATATGTCTTTCTAGAAAAATTTTAAGCATTTTTTTTAGCATATATGTGGGTATTGAGAATGAGTCCCAGAACTGTATGTAAGTCAAATTTATCTGTGCATATGTGTGTGTTTATGCATTTCACTTAAAAACATCTTAGACATCTTTTCATATTTGTACATAGGTTCACTTGAAACTATTAAGTAGCTGGGATTAAGAGGCTAGTTTTAAATTCTTGATCATGCTTATTATAATTGCAGTTAAAGGTGCATGTCCGTTGTCTCTGTCAGCCACTAGACTGCATGCTGCCGGGGAGCAGGGCAGGCTCGGTGCTGGTCTTACTCACTGTGATAGCACAAGTGCCTGACACAGTGCTGGTTACATAGTGGGTGTTCAACACGTATTTGATGAATGAATGATTTCTCCACACAGGTTGGCTATACAGTGCGCTTCGATGATGTCACCTCAGAAGACACCAGGATCAAGTTCCTGACAGACGGCATGCTTCTGCGTGAAGCAATTTCAGATTCCCTGCTTCGGAAGTATAGCTGTGTCATTTTGGATGAAGCCCACGAACGGACTATCCACACTGACGTGCTCTTTGGAGTGGTGAAGGCTGCACAGAAGAGGAGGAAGGAGCTGGGGAAACTGCCTCTAAAAGTAGGTGCAGCACGCGCGAGGGAGGAGGCCTGCATTTCTTCCTCCGCGTGTTCTCGTTTGCCCCTTCTGCTTCAGAATCATGGACAAAGTTAACCATAATGGGAGTGACACAGGCTTCATCACCTGCTTTCAGACCTTGGGAGGGACGAAGAAAGGCTGTCGCAGTGTTGTTTCCCGTCTTCATCTTCCTTCTCATACCTAGGTGACTGTGATGTCAGCCACAATGGATGTGGACCTGTTCTCTCAGTACTTCAATGGAGCCCCGGTCCTCTACCTGGAGGGTCGGCAGCATCCAATCCAGATTTTTTACACCAAACAACCTCAGCCAGATTACCTGCACGCCGCACTTGTCTCAGTCTTCCAGATTCACCAGGTATGGGAAAGGGCGCCAATTCCCGAAAAGGTCCATGTTACCTTATAGTTGATAGAGTATTCAGCCTTGAAAAGAAAGGCTACAGAATGAAACAGCTGGTGAGCCATGTCATTAAGATGAGTCAGTAGTTGCTTTACCATGTCTGGGTTTTTATCCTTTTCTCAGTATGTCTTACTTTCTTTAAAAATAATTTGACCAGCATCTTATCTCAGCTGAGCCAGAAAACTTCCATAGGTGAGAACAGGAGCTTACAAACATTTTCTTTTTTTTTTTATCATAACCCCCAGTAAGAACCAGCCAGTACACTGAAATAAGTCTTTTGAAACACTGCCTCCTTTGCTACACGTGATGTTTTCTGGTATTTTCTACCTCATAGTAAAAAAAACAAAACAAAACAAAAAAATGGTTGGGCTGTGGGTGGTGTGACCCAGTGGGTTGAGCGCCAGCCTGCAAACTGAAAGGTCACTGGTTCGGTTCCCAGTCAGGGCACAGGCCTGGATTGAGAGCCAGGTCCCTGGTTGGGGGGGTGTGAGAAGTAGACAGTTGATGGTTCTCTTTCATATCGATGTTTCTCTCCCTCTCTTTTCTCCCATTTTCCCCTCTCCAAAAAAATAAATCAAATTAGAAGAGGTGGTATTGACCCAATAATGGGTTGCAATGTAGAATTTTCCTTAAGGAAAACAAACTGTCTTAGAGAAACATTTCAAAGTCTCTTCTCATTTTAGTAAACATTTACTTAAAATTTGAGCAAGTCACCTCTTTTTTGTTCATTCAATTTGTATAAAATTGACTTTTTATACCTTCCCATTAGCTTTCTGAAAAATCTAGAAGCAAACTTTTTAAAATTAATTTTTATTTTAATCTAAGCAATACATGTGCAGTTTGAAGTTTAAAGAGTTAAGTGGTTAATTCCAAAGGCTCCTTAAAAAAAACAGCAGTTACTCTTACTTTCTCATCCCAGATCCTACTCTTCAGAGTAACCACTTTCAATTTTTTAGCTGTTTCCCCTGGATGTTACTTTCATATTTCTAAAATAACCTGTTGACATTGGTATGAGGCATTATATGTTAATTTCTTACCATGGTGGATGAGGATTTAGAATTACCCCTCCTCTACCTCACTTCTGCCCTTCATCCTCTCAACATAGTTATATCACAATGTGTTTTAATCAAGTATCAGTATTTACAATATCATGTCCCTACATTGCTAGCAGTGCACCACCTCAGTGCCTCATTCCTGGCACACACAGTTGTGTAAGTTTTCTATGTATGTATGGCTCATTTTTCCCCAATCCAAAGTCTGTCATATGCCAATCATGAATATTTGTTAGGTGTTCAAAGCTATTCCACTTTCCCAGAGTCCTTTATGCTGCTTTTCTGCTCAGCATAGGCTGCTCTCTTGGGCTTCTGTGTAGTTGTCATCCTGGCTCTCCCCTTTGCCATCTTCCTGTGTTGAACCCCGTTATTGTACCCTTTGTGGTCCCTGCCTCCTGGCTCATTGGATAGAGAGGGGACCTGGGGGCTTTAACCACACTATACTCAGACTTGGAGCCAATCCCTGGGTTTTTGCCCTCCCACAACCCACGTCTGCATTGCACCCAAGTCCTGAGCCTTTCTGGCTTCTCCAGGGAAATGGGTACATCTCTTGTCACTGTTCCCTTTAGGCGGCACCCAGGTTGGAATTTCCTTGACCCAGCCAAGTCATTCACGCCCTCCCCCCACCATTCCATCTTTCAGCAATGGGTTGAAACTTCCGTTCTTTTCTTCCATTGTCTTTGTCTTTCTGGGCTTATACCTTTGTTGTCATCTTGATAGTATTTGAAGAAGAAGGTCAATCTGCCTTGTTTAACTTACTTCCAAAAGCCAACTTGAGGTGAGGCTTTTTCATGAGTGATGGCTGCAGGTGCTTTCAGGTTAAGTGGTGGCTTTGATGAGTCCTCCCACTGATGATGTTTTGAGACTGTTTTAGGTTATATCCTGTCTATGTGTACCTCTGAACTTTTCTCCTGTTGCTACTGGGCTAAGAATACATGTACACACAAATATATATTTATATATTTACATATATACATATACTCACAATTAAACATTTTTTCAATTGTTTTGTCATCAAGCACTTTACAAATACATCTGAGCAGACTTTAAAGAAAGATTAGGTGAATGAGTGTGTTAACTAACACTTGGCTGTTCTTCCATTTGCAATAGTAATCCCTCTTTAACTGTTTTATAGGAAGCCCCTTCTTCTCAGGACATCCTGGTGTTCCTCACTGGTCAGGAGGAAATCGAAGCAATGAGCAAGACCTGCCGAGACATTGCAAAGCACCTCCCAGACGGCTGCCCCTCCATGCTGGTCCTGCCCCTGTACGCCTCCCTGCCCTACGCCCAGCAGCTCCGTGTCTTCCAGGGGGCCCCAAAGGTGAGTGCACCACCTGCTCTCCCTGGGGGGTCCTGTAGGTATGCCTTTCAGCAGACTCCAGATATCAACTGTATGGGACAGGGTGTTTAGGCGCCCGATACACAGCTGAAAAGCTGCGGGAATATAATAGCTACAATGCAGCTTGCTCATGTCAAGAACAGGGAAACAGTAGTCGGGATGGGGGAGAGTACGCAGGCAGCCGCTGAAGGGTAAATGAGTGACTCCTGTAAGGTCCAGCGCAAAAAGCCATGCGTGTCCATGCGGGCGTTTACTGGGGGCTCGTACTGTGCCAGGCACTGCTGGCATTTCATACGCACTGTCTCGTCCTCTCAAGGGCTGGCAGGGTAGGTTATGGTCCCATATTACAAACACTGAGGCCCAGAGAAGTGAGTGACAGTTGCGCAAGGAGCACTCAGCAGGTGCCTGGCCCAGCCCACATCTGCCCGCTTCTGAATCTTGGGCCTGTCCTGCTATATTTCATCGCCTCAAAATAAGCTTTTAAGACTGGAACATCCCCCCTCTCCCGGCCAGTTTAATGACCAACCATCAATATTAATAACTGTCATTAATAACAAAGTTATCTTTTCTTGATCATGAGTGAATTATGGAAATTAATGGTGAGGAATATGTTTTAAAATTTCTGAATCATATGTGTGTCATACGGCTTTTGGTTTTCTTCCTCCTTTTAGGGCTATCGCAAAGTGATCATTTCAACCAACATCGCTGAAACCTCCATAACCATTACAGGAATAAAATATGTAGTTGACACGGGCATGGTTAAAGCAAAGAAGTATAACCCTGGTGAGAATTTGTAGCTCATGATGTCTCTTCTGTGTGTAGTGAGCAACCCTTGAGATCCCTGAAGTCCCACAGCTTCCCCGTAGTGGGCGTTTCATGTGTTTGTAACTAACTGAGACAGGTAGCAGGCAGCCACAGCGAGACTGTCCAGAATCAGGTCCAGGAAGGAGACCTGAGGCAGGAATGTGAGACAGGGAGGTAGTGTAGAAAGAGAAGGCGAGGTTTAACAAACTCGGGAGCCAAGAGGCTGCGGAACGAGGGTCTGAAACCCTGCCTGCAGTTGGGTGAGAATGGTGGCACTAGGACAGAGGTAGCCAGATCCCACGTCAAAGGCTGTCATCAGTAGTAATATTTGAGCGTGGCCAGATTGAGCTCTGGGTCTCCCAGGATGCCCTAGGCTGGGTGGGACACTAGCTGTTTCCTGAGAATGTGCAGTGGGAAGCTTGCTTCGGTCATTGTTCTTCATGTCTGTCGTGTGCCTTGCTTTATTCTGCAGAGGAATCGAGGCAGCTGAAATTATCACTCCCGTATGTTTAATTGAAATGCACTACTCTTAGAACATGTGAAAAGGCTTGGTTCTCCAGTGCCTGACACAGAGTACTCCTTTAGCAAGAAAATTTGTCTCATTTGCTCCTAGGAGTGACAACATCAAATTGTCTCTTCAATATTGGAGGTGGAAGGGAGGATACAGTGTACAGTGACTGGAGGCGTCTCATTTCTGAGCCATTGACAGATAGGGTGACAGTCATCCTAGTTTGCCGGAGACTGTCCTGGTTTTATCACTGAAAGTCCCAAGTCCTGGGCCAGTCGTGGTGGTTGTCACCCTATGTTTGAAGCCAGACCTGAATTTGCTCTCCTGGCCCCCTGCTATGAGCATAAAGTTTTTTTGATGTTATAATAACAGATTTCATGCATTGTCCACTGCAAGGCATCGTTTCACTGCAAAACAGTCTGGTTTTGTGCTTTGCGATTTAGCCTTGGGTTTTTCGGGACTCGTGTATTGCAGAAAGGACCCCTGGTGTTCTAAGGAGTGCCTCTTTTCGGCCACACTGTAGAAACAGGTCGGGTGATGAGCGAAGCACTAATGTGGGGCATTCTCCCTCCAGACAGTGGCCTGGAAGTGTTGGCTGTGCAGCGGGTGTCAAAGACCCAGGCCTGGCAGCGCACAGGACGCGCTGGCAGAGAGGACAGTGGCATCTGTTACCGGCTCTACACAGAGGATGAGTTTGAGAAGTTTGAGAAGATGACCGTGCCGGAGATCCAAAGGTGGGCCCAGGGTGCTCCTGCATCCCTGCCGTTTGTCCCCCCATCTCCCTTTCCTGCTTGCTCAGGTCTTCCCAGAGCTACAGTTCTAACACTCCTCAGTGGATGGTTCTGACTCACTGGCTGGAGGACCAAGACAAGTGAACAACGCACATCTCTCACAATTCGTAGGTGTAACCTGGCAAGTGTGATGCTGCAGCTGCTAGCAATGAAGGTCCCCAACGTGCTCACCTTTGACTTCATGTCCAAACCGTCTCCAGGTGAGTGGACTCTTCAGTGGAGTGGAAGGCGTACAAGTAGACACACAATAGCACATGGACTCTGAAAGGTATTTTAGAGGCCTCCTTTGGTTCAACCTGGTGGAGCAACACTGACTGCCAGAGAAGTGCCTCGGGACCATGAACGGGTGGGCGCGGAGCCATCCGCGCCTTCCCAGGGCAGAAACAGTGGCTTCCTGCAGGGACTGTCAGTTGGCTCCTTGACCACAGGAGCCACTGAAAGTAGTCGAGGCGGTCCGTGGGTTATGCAGAGATTGTACTTCTGCCAGCAAATGGTCTGAAAAGATCAAGTCCATTTCTTTGTTTTTGACTAGAATTTGATCAGTTCCGGCCCTTCATTGGTCTCTCCATGAGGAGGCAGTAATTGGAATCTTCCTAATGATGGTAGCTTTAGCACTTGGCATCTCTTCAATACATGATTTTCCTTTTGTTTTTCTTACTTCTCCTTATTAAGTGAAGAAATTCAGTTTCTTTTAAAGTAACAATTGATGAGTATATAAGGGTCCCACCCCTGATCTTCATCCCTAAAGTTTCCCATCCCTAAAACAACCTCATGACCATGTTCTCGTTGCCTTCTAGAGAAAATGTGCACATGTAATTATATGTAGTCTCTTTTAAAACGGTAATGGCAATACACACTGCACTGTACTACAGGTATTTTTTTTCCAGTTTTATTGAGCTATAGTTGACATATATCGCTGGGTAAGTTTAAGGTGAACAACGTAACAATTGGCCTTACATAGAGTATGAAATAATTACCTCTTACAAGTTTAGTTAGCATCTATCATCTGATGTAGATACAGTAAAAAGAGAAAGCAAAGAAAGAAAAGAAAAATACTGTATTTTTCTTCATTGCTAAGTTCCTGCACACAAAGGAAGAGCACACATGTAAGGCAGAGGGAGCAATGCACCCCTTCCCCGCACACCTAGACCACTCCCTGCGACTCGCTCCCTTCCCACTCCCTCAAGGTGATCACCCTCCCACGTTTTGTTTGTAGTTCTCTTGCTTTTCTATACTGTGTTACGCTTTGGATGTGTATCCCTGAACAATGTGGTATTTTTATTCGCACGTTTATGTGTCAGTCTTCAGTAACTTTCCTTTCTCATACATTCTGTTCCATGAGGTTTATCTGTGTTGATGCGTTTTCACCACTGAATGTTGTACCATTCTATGAATAAAGCAAAATGCACTTCCCTGCTTTCATGTTGACTGAGACATTTGCACATTGCTCTCTGCACCTTTTACAAATTGTGTCCTCTCAGAATGAATAAGTTATTACATCGTAGGAGTGCTTTTTTATTCTTTAATAGGTGATGCACTTACATGGTTCAGGGTTCGCAAAGCATAAAAGAGTGACCAGTAAGCAGTGGCCCTCTCGCTGGGGGACCCTGGTGGGTCCATGGTTGTGTGTGCATTTCTGGAGCTACAGGTCCCTGTTCTTTATATGAGCACATCTGTAGGTGACTTCTTTTCTATTTATTTAAAAGTTTTTTTCTTTGTGGGTAAAATTCTTAAGTGTGACATTGCTGGGTTTGAAATTTATGTACAGACTGCCAAATTATAGACCACTCTTTCAAAAGGGAATTGGACTGAAGACAGTGATGTGCCATTAACAGCTTTGAAAGGATGTTGGGGGCAGTGGTCGTTGTGATTTTTGCTGTGGTTTGATCAGTTGTCAAGTTAGCAGAAGCTCCCAGAAATACTGAACTAGTTGCAACCTCTTTCTTTGATTTTTGACTCCTTTTTATGTCTCTGTTTCTTTAGACCATATTCAGGCGGCCATTGCCCAACTGGACCTGTTAGGTGCTCTTGAGCATAAGGATGACCAGCTTTCCCTGACTTCAATTGGAAGAAAGATGGCAGCATTTCCTTTAGAACCCAAATTTGCCAAAGTAAATGATGCCCTCTTTTCAGTCCCCTTTCTGTACATTACAGGTTAGCCATCCCAAAGTAGACTCCTAAACCCAGTGCTTCTGGATTAATCTTCACTATTCTCCTAAATAATTACCCACTCTGGCTTTGTGTCTAACACTGATTTATGTTCTGTGTGGAATTAGAACTCATACTAAATCATTAGCCCAACCCACAAGGAATTTGGAATCCTGCAGAGAAGGCGATCATTTGTTTTACAAAAAAGTCAAGTAACATTAACACACAGTCATGGTTTTAGAAACATCTGCCCTTTAACACCTTAGAAGGGAAGCTGCGAAAGCAATATACAGAAATACTGTGTGCAGAAGCTAGGAGGAAGTCTGTTTAATGCAGTTTTTAATTTTGATTTGCAGACCATCCTCCTGTCCCCCAAATTTCACTGTACGGAGGAGATACTGACCATTGTCTCCCTGCTGTCTGTGGACAGTGTTCTCTACAACCCTCCCTCCCGGCGGGATGAGGTGCAGGGTGTCCGGAAGAAGTTCATATCCAGTGAGGGCGATCACATTACCCTGCTCAACATCTACCGGGCCTTCAAAAACATAGGCGGAAATAAGGTGAGCCTCGTGTCCTTCCTCTTCTCAAGCGATGCTTCTTTTCGGGCGTATGGACCTTCCTTTTTGGCTGAATCATCTAATGAGCCACAAAAAGAATGTCAGACGTCATTTTAGAGACATCTGCATGTAGGGACAGTATCAGGGAAGAAATGTGATGCCTGCCTTTCACTCTGCTTGTGTTTAACTCGTGCTTAATGTGGGCAAGTTAGTTCAGTACTTAGTGACCAGCCTGTTAGCTCAAGACGGGGTTTTCTCCACCTGCCTCTGTCTTTGTAGTAGTTTTTGCTTGTATGATATTTCAGTTGTTTGGACCAAGATGAAAAATGGCAATATATTGTTTGATTTATGAGTATAATCAGTAATTGTGCCATAGTGTGCATGATTTAACCTTGTATTTTAATGCAGCTACTTTAAAAAAAAAAAGCCCCCACCCACATTTCACAGTTGTGAACATTTTGCTCTGTCTCTCCCTGTGTAACCACCGTCCTGATGCTGGAGTGTGTTCCCACGGCTGAGGGCATCCTTTCTCTTCATTGGATGCTACAGACATTTTCTTCCACTGCCCTTTTGCAGCTTGTTTCCACTTCCAGCACTACAGTGAACGTCTGTGGAAGTCCCCTTGTGCACGAGGGGGAGCATTTCTCGAGGGTCGACACTCAGAAGTGGACCTGTTGGTCCTGGGTGGCTGCATCCAGCTTTACCAGGCTAGTGTGTGGCTCCCCGAAGTGGTCGGCACCTCTCTTCTCCCCATAGTAACGTGTAAGAGTTTCCATTTCCACACCCATTTCCACCGCTTGGTTGAAATGACTTTAATTTTTGCCAAATCGGTGGATGTAAAATAGTATCTCAGCTGTTTAAGCTACTTTGCCTTGATTTCTCAAGAAACAGAATCCTTATATAAGTTTATTGGTTACTGGTCATTCCTAGTAAATCATCTGTGAGTTGCCTGTTCATAGCCTTAGTCCATTTTCTACTGGATAGTTGGTCTTTTTCTTACTGACTACTGACTTATAGAAGGGTTTCATGTGTTTTTTTTTTTTAATGTATTCTGGGGTTAGTTGCCTTTATTAGGTGTAGTGATGCAAACATCTTAGTCTGTAGCATTTTCATGGTGACTCGACATAAGAAAACTTTGAGTTTTAGTTTCGTTTAAATTATTAATATATTTCCTTATGGCTTATACTTTTTGATACAAAGATATTTTTGTGTAGTTTTGGCAACTGAAGTTTTCCCTCTAAATTCAACTATGTTCTAAAAAATTATGTTATTTTCACTATAGAAATGAGAGGATTGTGATATCTCTTTTTCTCTTTTCAGGACTGGTGCAAAGAGAATTTTATCAACAGCAAGAATATGATGCTAGTAGCTGAAGTCAGAGCACAGCTAAGGGATATCTGCTTAAAGGTATTTTTTTCTTTCCAGTTATTCCTTGGGGGACTGTCACTTTTTTCCAGGTGAAAAAATCTTAATTGCTTATAGTTAGTGATTACAAAAGAAACTCTTGTTGCAGAAAATTTAAAAATAAGGAAGAAAGTAAAAATTATCCAGAACTCTACCTCACCATTTTGGTCTGTTTCCTTATATCCCTGCTTTTAAATGTTTTTCACAAACTTAGTTACATTGTATATAATTTATATTCAGTTTATGTAAACTTTAAAAGTGTTTTACAATGTTACGAGAATTTGTCCTCAATTTTTTTTTAAGTAGGAACATGTTTATTATTTTCAGAATGCATAAGTAGTGTATAATAATTACAAATTGATACAGTGCAGAAAATAGTGATATATAATGCAGAAAATTTCAGTCTCCCATAATCCTGCCCCTCCAAAGATAAATTTCTGTTAACAGTCTGGTGTAAATCCTCCTAGAATTTTTTCCTCTGTGTGTGTACATACACATGGATACATATATAAAACTTTCTTCAGAAAATAAATATGAGTCCAGGCTGGATAGCTCAGTTGGTTAGAGTGTCGTCCTGATGCACCAAGGTTGCAGGTTCGATCCCCGATCAGGACACATACAAGAATCAACCAATGAATGCATAAATAAGGGGAATGACAAATTGATGTTTCTCTAAAGTCAATCAATAAATTTTTTTAAAAAATATGATACGCATTTTGTTTGTAACTTGCTTGTTCCCACTTGGTAGACTTCTTGAATACCTAATGGGTCTGGACTGTCTTTCAATGTCTGTATGTGTGTATCTCATTCTTTTTAGTAGCTTCATAGCATTTCATTGTGTCTACTACACTTTACTTAACCAAGCCCCTGATGGTGGTGGGTTAGGTTCTGTCATAATGACCTTCTTCCTACATAGCATATGTGATATGTGTGTGTGGCCTGGTGCACGTAGAATGAATGATGAATTCATGGATGGTGAATTTAGGTCTTGATAGTTATTGCCAAATCATCCACCAGAAAGTTTTCTGTTAGCTTACATTCCCTCTTAGAGTACGTGATTGTATGACACTCCGCATTGTACCTCAGAGGTGGAGGTAGTTAGCTGTAGGACTCTGGGCGTCCTGGAGGTGGTGATACTGAGCTACTGACAGATGAGGAGTTAGTGTCTCATCAGGCCAGGATTAGCTGATTGCAAAGAACAAAACACCCTGAACTACCTTAAAAGGGAAAAGGGGGGTATGAGGCACCTGTGAGATCCTCTGGGCCAAAAATAGTCCAGCCCCACAGGGACTGGAATGAGGACCCAGATAAGGCCATCAGGAGCAAGGGCAGCTTTCTCTGGGCCTGCCTGGCCTCTTGTTTTGGCTGCTTGCTGCATGCTTCCTTCCCGCTTCTCACCTTCTGCCTTAGCACACAAGTGACTGCTTTCCCTTGCCTCCCACTCAAAACTCTAAGAGGGATTGCCTGGATTTCCCACGCTCAGACTGCAAAAGACTGGAAGGGAGAAGCTGGCCAGTGTGGGTCAGGCAAGTGTGTACCACTGGTTGGTTCAGCTGTGGCCTGGGATATAAGGCGATGTGACCCGTTCAGCAGGGGTAGTGGGGCCAAGAGGTTGAGGACTGACACTTGCACTGTGGAGCCAGTGGGTGGTCCGTCCCTAGGAGTGCACGTGTGAAGGCACCCGCAGGGAACGGGCCTAGGAAAGAGAAGGCAGTTGAGTTTGGAGGACCCCAGGATGCACAAGGAGGGCTTCACAATTGGAGGCTCACATTGCTTTGCCAGGAGCAGTAGAGACAGTGAAGGCTTTTCAGTGGCAAGAACGACTGGAGTTGTGCTATGGGAAGACTATTTGGTGGCACTATGTGAGATGGATCGGAGGAGGAGACGATCATGTAGTCAAAGTCAGAGGGAAAGGCCTCTCCCTCCTGGAACATCCTGGCAGATAATTCCACGAGGGGGCAGGTGTTGGATCACATAACCTGTCTGTGGTTTGGCACCTTCCATGCCTGTCTCTCTCCTGGTCCTTACTGGCCCGGGCTGTGGTTTTCCTGTTTTCAGTCCACTCTCCTTCAAACACGCCTCTTACCCTGCCTGGGCTGATCCCTAAGGCATTTGAGAAAAACAGCCCTGACTGGCAACATCTACTTTGTTAGGCTTGCAGTGTGGGCTGCGTTGGAGGGGCAGTTGCTCCAAGTGCTACACAGTGCTGAGCAGCATTTATGTTTGGGGTCTTTTCCAATTCTCGCTTCCTCCTGAAACAGATGTCAATGCCGATCATGTCATCTCGAGGGGACATGGAGAATGTCCGCCGCTGCCTGGCTCACAGCCTCTTCATGAGCACCGCTGAGCTTCAGCCGGACGGTACCTATGCCACCACAGACACTCACCAGCCCGTGGCCATCCACCCCTCATCCGTCCTCTTCCACTGCAAGCCCGCCTGCGTCGTGTACACTGAGCTGCTCCACACCAGCAAGTGCTACATGCGAGACCTCTGCGTGGTGGACGCCGAGTGGTTGTACGAGGCCGCCCCAGAGTACTTCCGGAGGAAGCTGAGAACCGCCAGAAACTGAGCCACCCTAGGCCACTGCTGAAACTGCCAGGACCGGGAGCTGGGACGACAGCTGTCCCCGCAGCAGACTTCCAGCCTGGCACCTAGTGAGGTGGCAGATTTTAATGTAATGGAACATGCCCGACTTCCTGGAGCTTGCACATGTCTTTCTTTAAACTTCTAAGACTGAACCACGTAGGTGTGTTCCTACCATTTATACCTTTGAAACATCAAAATTATGCTTTTGGTTCTTGCTGGGTGACTTTGGGTGACCTAGTTAACTTCTGAGCCTCAGTTTCCTCATGTGCCAAATGGGGGTAATAATACTTGTGGGGTTGGAGTCCTGAGGTTTGGAGAACATGGAAGTACCCAGAGCTGTGCAGCCCATGGTGAACATAAAATGAACTGTTGGCTTGATGTTACTGCTTTTTACATGATGTGAATTGAGTAAAACAAAACCCCCAAAATTCTCAAGACTAAGGGGGACTTTCTAGAAGGGGACCATAGGAGGTCACAGAGCTCAGATGTTGTCCTTGGATCTATTTTAATGTCTATCTGTAAGAAGTTTTGAAATAGAAAGCCTAAGAGATTGACATCGGTAGAAGTTTCAGGAGGGAGGCGCTGTTGGTGCTCACCTCAGCGGCTGGCCTCCCCGAGGGGACCTCCTCCTCAGGGAGCGGCCCCCTGCTGCCTCCAAGCAGCGGGCAGTAAAGGAGCACTCGCAGGTTGCTGAGCTGTGTATCTTCGGCCTTGGTGCTTCTGTGACAGGTGGCCTCACCTGTCCTTCCAGGAGACATGGAAGTTTCCTGGGTGAACGTTCCTTGGTATCTTCTAAATCACATCAAGTATAAATGTGGGAAACTGACCTTGGAGGGCGATGGCCTCCCGCATACTCAGTTGCTACTTTTCTCTGTAACTGGGTCCACATAAATGAGTGAGTGTGAGGAATGACTCAGTGCCACATTTCAGCCATTTCTCTTCTGGCAGGGTCCCTGGTGAGAGGGCTGGTGGGGGAAGTGAGGAGAAACAAGTGGTCCACAGGAACCAGACAGCATTGATTGGCTCATCCCGGCCGCCACATCTGGTGTTTATATTCTAGCATCTTATTAATTATCTTTTTCCTTGAGACTTGGGGACAACTTGGCTTTGTTATTTCCTAACTCTACCAATCATCATTCTCTAACCCTTAAGTTTCTAAGTTTCTACATTTTTCAGAGGGAATTAGAGGGTATCCATGGTCTTCCTATTTTTTTTTATTTTTTTTTTTGAGAAGGGAAAAGGCATCAAAGGTTCTCCTTAGCTATTTAATTATCAAAGACAGATGAATGTCTTATCCTAGAAGCAGCCAAGATTTACCTCTTTTAATGTCCTCAACTGGCTTAAACACATATGTAGTATTTTGGTCATTATTTAACGAAGTGAATCATGCAGTTTAGGTGCAAAGGGCCAAACTGAGAGACCTTCAGAAACAGCAGTCTCTTCACTCCGCAGCCAGGGAACTCTTCTCCGGGACTAGCTTGTGGGGGCTCCGCACTCCGGGCCTCATCCCTCCAGGTCTGCGCGTGTCAGGTCTGGCTCAGGCTTCCCAGCACTAGCTGTGGCCCTGGGAAGCCAAGCTTTTATCTAGTGGGGGTAATAATCAGGGCACTTGTGATTTAATTCTATTAGAAATATTTGTGTTTAGGACAAATTGGATTCAACAGATTTTATATACCCTATCAGCGATTTTCAACCTTTTTCATCTTATGGCATATATGAACTAATTATTAAAAATTCTGCAGCACACCAAAAAATATATTTTTTGCCGACCTGACAAAAATATAGGTATAATTTTTTTTGTTATACCTATTCGTTGGTTGTTGGCTATTGACCTATTTTTTTTTATTTTTTATTTTTTTTATTTTTTGCGCGTGACAGCATGAGGGAAAAGAGGTCAGTACCCCTGACTAGTCAGGTACTATTTAAAAATTCCTGTGGCACACCAGTTGAAGATGGTTGCCCTATTGTATTGAAAACCTTTTACTTTTAGCTGGTTCTTCCTCAGATTGACTTGTTTTTACTGTTACTGACTTTCTGAAAAGTTTTTCAGATGGTTTTTAAAATGTATTTTTCTCATTTATTTAAGAGGCCTAGGATGTTCAGCCTGACTTGGTACAAGAAAATACTGTATTTTTAATAAAAATTTCATCATGCTGGTAAAATTTTGGGAATGGGGTGATTTATCATGTTCCTTAGCAAAATCTCTCTCCTGGGGCAAGTAAAACTTAGAATAACTTGTGTCCAATGTAAGTTCCTAAAGAGTTTCTGGAAAATACCTATTTTTCTGAGGAGGAATAAAGGATAAATAGCTTTTAAGTAAATGTAAATAGCTTCTAATTAGCTTTAGTGTTTGATGTTTCTGTACAGAAATATGTTTTTCACTGTAACATTCTAGTAGAGTTTTAATACAGTAGTTTTTTATTGGGCTTTTTAAAAAGTTAATTTTTAACATAGCTGCTCAGGGATTCAATCAGACTGGAAAACCCATTCTGAGTCCTAGAAATAAATGGTTATTTACATTGACCTGCAGGGGATAGTACATTTTAAACTTAAAGAAAGTTAAATGTTTCACAATGATGTCGCAATATAATTTTGAGCTCTTTTTCAATTATTAAAGTCTCTAATGGTGTGACACCTCTTTTTCTCTCTGTGAAATTTATACCTAGCTGAATCACTAGCTCCCATGAGCAGCTTCATGTAAATAAATGCACTCCAAGCAGATTGCATGCCTCAGGTGTTGATTTTCTGTATCTAGTGATCTTGGAGTGTGGGACAGCAAGAGCAATGCAGATTTCATCACAGGGAAAGAACTGTAATCTTCTTTCCTGCCAACACCTGGTCCTTGTTAAAAACCCTTAATGTTGCATCTCTGCTGGTTATAAAAAGATGCCAGAATGAAGACGAGTTTTTGCTCTGGGGGTTAAACTTTTTATGCACTGTGATACATACATGCATTTAATCCAGCTATCGAGAACTGCTTGGAACTGTGGCTAGGCAGCTAAGGCTCCATTCCAAGAGCATATATGGGAACACTACGCCTGTGAGGAAGCAAGGGTTCGGTTATATTTTATTGGCTCAGAATATGATAACTTATGAGGGGAAAAACAAGTTGGTTCAGGTTTATGTTGTATTTTGAAAATCTAGTTTTGTTCAGATAGACATAGCTCTATAGAAACATCAGTTCTTGTATACAATGCTCAAATTTGCACATGACTGTCAATCCATTAAAAGTGAATTTTGTACATGATATGTGACTTTCTTGGGTCTCCTTTTCCTTATTTACAGAAAGCTGTTCAGAATATATTAAGTAATAATTTTATCTTTGCCACTAATTCGGAAAGGCTTACTTTCTTTGTACCTTATTATATATATCCTGTGTGTCCTGGTAAGGTAGGAACGTCGGTTCTTAACCTAAATCTTGATGTAAGTCATGGCCTCTTACCTCCAGAGAACTATTGCCCCATCAGAACCTGAGAGCAAGGCAGGAGAGTTATGGAGAGGGAAGGTCGCAGGAATTAACCAGGGATCCTGCCGTTTAGGAGCCCCCGGGCTGGTGGGGTGAGTGGAGGCTGCCAGGTAAGCCAGCAGTGCCACGAAGTCTCTCCCGCGGGGAGAATAAAGCACAGGGGCGGTTGGGACGTTCCAGGAACGTATCTTAAGAGAGGATCTTGAAGGCTGGCCTTTAGGTTGTTGGGGCCGGCAGGACTGCATTCCATGAAGTCACAGAAAGCCTGATGTGTTCTGAGAATAACAGTTGGTAATCTGGAGAGTAAGCAGCCACTGAAGAGACGTAATGCTGACAAATTAAGCCTTGCTGCGCACCACTCAGGCCGGCCTACTCAGCTAAGAGATTCAGTTGCTGGATTTGAGGCCTCTCGCGGAAGCTGCCCGGAGGCGCCCGGCAGTGAGCGCGGTCCTGCCCGTGGTGCCTTTGACCTGCAGGCGACCTTGCGGAAGCGCTTCCCTAGCGGGGGGGCGGAACTTCCGGTGCTGAGCTCGCCGGGGCCTTTTGGATCAGTCCGTTCTCTTCTGCACGTGTCAGCCGCCGTCTCTATAGCTTTCGCGATGCTCCCTCTGCTGCGCTGCGCGCCCCGCGCCTTGGGTGCCGCCGTCGCCGGCCTCCGCGCTGCTGCGCCCTCCGCACCTCTCCGGCCGCTACTGCAGCCCGCGCCGCGGCCGTGCACCCGGCCCTTTGGGCTCCTCAGCGTGCGCGCAGGCTCTGCGCGGCGGCCCAGCCTCCTGCGGCCTCGCGGACCTTGCGCCTGTGGCTGCGGCGGGCTGCACACCGAAGGTGAGTTCACCTGTGTGAGCCGCGGCCGTAAAGGGCAGATTTCGGGTGGGGTGGCGGTCGGGCCGCCCGAAGCCGCTTCGCGAGGTCCGGAACATTTTCCCAGTTATTGGCAACCCCTGGGTGAGACCTACGTGCCATCACATTTACCTCCCCCCATCCTTAAAGCCTTTCGTTTTCGGTTGAGACATACGAGTAAAACCTGGAAGCTTACCTTATTCTTAATGTCTTGAAAAGGAAACTTCGGGAAAGCTCAAGGTCGCAGTTTAAAATAGCGTTGTTAGGTATTTTGGTAGGTGGAAGAGGGTAATTGGGAACTCTTTTGCTTTGTGTGAAACGGGGTGATGAGTTAAAGTGTTGAAAATGACTTTGCCAGAATCGAGCTCAGCTTTCCACTGGTAGTGTTAGGCGTTTTTACAGATAAGGAAACTTAGGCTTAGTGGGTATGAGTTGGACTAAGTCCCGGAGGATTTTTAACGGTCCAAGTCCAGATTTCTGACTCGAGTAACCTGGGTCACGTTGGACTGATGGGCTGGTGGTTCTTTTTCTGCACCTTATGGGTTTCCATTGTAGGGGACAAAGCTTTTGTTGAATTCCTGAATGATGAAATTAAAGAGGAAAAGAAGATACAGAAGCATAAGTCCCTCCCCAAGATGTCTGGAGGTTGGGATCTGGAAGTGAATGGGACAGAAGCCAAATTAGTGCGGAATGTTGGTGGAGAAAAGTAAGTACTGGGGGCTTGTGGACTCCACGACCCTAAATCCATGAGCATGTCAGACTTGTCCTGGGTTCTTTCAAGGCAGATAGAACTTTGATACATGGTTTCCAAGTCGCAGCAGGAATCTTTGGGTAACTTTGTAAGTTCCAGGTGGTTCATTAACTGCACACAAATTTCCTGTGAGCTGGTTACTGAGGAAGAGTATTCTCTAACTTCACCTAAACCATTTTTCCTAGGGTGAGGCATAGCCAGTTTGGGGCCATTAGTGTGTTCTTATGAACACTGCATTTCTGCGCCCAGAGTTCAAGTTGGTCAGCACCGTTTCCAATTAGATTTTGTAGCTGAACCTCAACCACTGCTCCTATGAGAAGGTGGCTTCCTGGCAAAGCCGGGTTAGCGCAACAGTTACGAGTGCTCAGTTACGAGTGCTCGTGTGTGCAGATAGTGCCTGCTGGAGTAGCACAGTCCAGCAGGGCTAGTTCCAAACTTCACATCGCTTTTAATTTTGACTCAAATTTTGGAACATGATTTGTCAAGTGAGGGTTCTTGCACCTTAAAATCGTCATTAGTCAGTGTTTCTGGCCTTCTTTATGATTATGAAACTTGCCCCAAGTATTCTGAAAATGAATGTGTACTGCAGCATAGTGTCCTCTGTGAAGATCCCTTCCTGGGATCAGGGCTGCTTTTGGTACTGAGCTGATGCAACTCCAGTGCTCCTTCTTCCTTTCCTCAAAGGGGCAGATTTTCTGATGGAGAAAAAGCTTTTTAAAGGAGGTGTCTATCACCCTGACCAGTGTGCCTCAGAGGTTGGGTGTCGTTCTGCAAAGCAAAAGGTTGGGGCACATGCCTGGGTTGTGGGTCCCTGTGTGGGGCACATATAAGAGGCAAGCGGTAGATGTTTCTCTTCCTTTCTCCCTCCTTTCCCCTCTTATCAAAAATTAATGAATAAAATATTTTAAAAATAAAATAAAGGAGGCATCTATCTATTCTATCCCACCAGCTTCTTAGGTGCTGACTGCCAGTGGAGGGAACCCTGGAAAGACCATGGGGAGCAGTGTCCACTGGCTGTGGCCGTGAGATAGCCAGTGGATACGCACTGCAGTGGGCCCTGGGGTGCGGGCCTGGTGGGCATAGCCTACACACGACTGTATCTGGCTGAGATAAGCTGGGGCCTATTAGTCTGACTTCCAGCAGCTGGCACAGAGCAGGTACACTTCGTGCCTGTCGATTACATCTCAGTGCAATGTAGGCATCCAGGCTTTTTTGGAAGGTCTGTAATAATTCAAATGTAAAGCCATCTAGGATAGAAACATTGTTCCAACAAGCATTTTTAACTTAGCAGGCCTCAATACTTATTTACATTGTTTTAAAAAAAATACCGTCTTGTGTTTTCTTCTTCTAATTTTCTAGAATCACTGTCACTTTCAACATTAACAATAGTATCCCACCCACATATGACGGGGAGGAAGAGCCCTCCCAAGGGCAGAAGGCTGAAGAACAGGAGGTAAGCCGTGACACTGTAACCAGCCTTTGCCTCAGTCCTCACAGGCCAGGGATTTACCAGGAACATTGTTTTTGTTTTTGTTTCATTCCTGTAATGCTAGAAAGGGAAGGGAGGCTGCTGGCAACAACCGTCCTTGAGACTTGACTTGCAGAAGAGCAGTTTCTGGCCCGCTTTAGCACCAGGATTATGTGACCCATTTTCTTTCCCAGGGACTGAGTAAATTACCATCTGCTTGGGCTTTATAGTTTGGCCTTTGTTCGCCTAATAGAAAGGACTTGAAACTGTCTTTTACCCTTCCATAGTGGAAAGAGGTTTGATAGGGGAGATTATCATTTGGCATGTTCCCAAGTGAGGAATGCTGGAAATAAGCACCAGCCACTTAACCAAGGTAGCAAAGATATTTAACATCAGAGTCCGGCAAGGTCTTTCCATAGGTTGCTGGCCTCTTGGTGCCCAGTCAACATTTTAGGAAGCAGCGTATCTGGCCTAGAAACTGCTGGGATGAGGGCCACAGGGTCCTCAGACTTTCTAACTAAGCAGGTATCAGTATTGTCTCATGACCTACAACAGCAAGCTCGGCTTCCTGGTGACATCAGACTACAGTCTCTGACACTGAGTGGCTCACTGTCAAAGGGAGAGTTGCTGTGATTATTGAGACATTGATGGCCAGTTAACCAAGTGTACTGGCCTTTGGTCCTGGGCAGCAGGAAGATCCTGGAACAGTCAGTTGGGAAGAGATCCTAGGAGCTTTGGCCACCTTAGCAGTTTATGGATGGAGAAACAGTCCGGGAAGGTTGGAGAATGATCTAAATTTCAGTTAATTGGCTGACATAGCTGGACGTGGAATTCACGTTTCTTCATGTCGAACCTAGTATGTTATTTAAACAAGTACAGTGCCAACAGAAGTGAAATACTGTACTAAATATATGATGCTCTGCCCTCGGAAATAGCTTTAACTCGAGAAAAGATCCATAGGTTGAGTTCAGAATGAACTGGTATGTGGCTTTAATGCCCTCTTACATGCTCTCCGCTCCTTATTTGAGAACACTGTAGCAAAGACTTTAAAAATGGCTGTGAAATAGCCTAACAGTGGTGGCTTCCAGACCCCTGAATTGTTTGAGACCTTTGGTCCAGGCAACCAAGGCCTGCCAACATGGGCATGTACTGACTCACTCTTGTTTTCCCAGCCTGAATTGACATCCACTCCCAATTTTGTGGTTGAAGTTATAAAGAAAGATGGCAAGAAGGCCCTTGTGCTGGACTGTCACTATCCAGAAGATGAGGTATGTAGGATGGAGTGCTAGCACCTTGGCATCCCTGTGGACAAGCAGGGCCTCGAGAGACCTTACTGGTCCCTGTTCTAGTTTAGGCCAGCAAAGCAGGGGAAGAAAGTGGGGGGCGGGGGGGGGGGGGGGGCAAGGTTTAAAACCTGGTTGGTCTCAACCTGTAAATAGTCCCTTTTCTTTGCATGAGCCTGGCTTGCCTTGGAAAACCCTTCAGTTTTCCCAACTACTGTCTCTTCTCAGGTTGGACAAGAAGAAGAGGGCGAGAGTGACATTTTCTCCATCAGGGAAGTAAGCTTCCAGTCCACTGGTGAATCTGAATGGAAGGATACAAATTACACACTCAACACAGATTCCCTGGATTGGGTGAGTGCTTGATAAGGTGGGGAGCTCTGGGGCCTTGCACAGGAGGTCCTTGTCCAAGGAGAGACAGAAAAGTATTTTAATTAGCAAACATTACTGGCGAAGTCTTTCTTTTTTTTAAAATGGTAAATGTTTCTCCTCCTAGGCCTTATATGATCACCTAATGGATTTCCTTGCGGACCGAGGGGTGGACAACACTTTTGCAGATGAGTTGGTGGAGCTTAGCACAGCCCTAGAGCACCAGGAGTACATTACTTTTCTGGAAGACCTCAAAAGTTTCGTCAAAAGCCAATAGAGCAGACAAGATGCTGAATACCTTAATTTTATGGCAGGCTTTGCCAGTGAACAAAACCTAATCTGATGCCAGGCATGTACTTTGAAATGTTTTCGTCCTAACATCATGGAAAACGATTTGAATTTAAATTATTTGTTGCCTTTTATTTACTATTCATTTCTTTCCTCTGTACAAATCTATTATTTCTAGATTTTTGTATAACATAATGATGGACAATAAAATTGGTTTATCTCTAAGGTGGTGATTTATCTCTAAGGTAATCTCTGAAGGCAAACTGTTCCTCTGCCAAGGCCCAACCTGCATTCTATTCCTTCCCCTTCAACCTGCATTACAAAACACGAAGCGCCTACATGTTTGGACAGTTTTAATATAAAATAAATTATAAATGAAAGGTTTTTATTTACAAGGCTCCTCATCTCAGGTGGGACGAGTACTTCCCAGCCCAGTAGAACGATGTGCGTAAAGGCTGGCTTTAGATGATCACAGCCCAAGTGTCGCAAGCCTGGATTTAAATAGAAAAAGTTAGCTGAAATTGTTTTATATGGTTGACAGTTGTAATCAGTAATGACATCTTTGCTGCCACCGCAAGTCCTGCATACCACAAGATGAAGCTTGTAATTGTGAAAGCTGGATGGCAGAGTCACAAAAGACTTTGCTTGATTTCAGCCCTGCAGTCTCTAAACAACCGTCTGTGACACCCTCAGAAGCAATGTCATCTTCAAGCTCAGATCCTGGAGAGGGACTGATCAAAGAGCCTCCCCCTCAGGAACCCAGTGACCAGACCGTTCAAACTTTTGAGAGCTGGAAGCTTTTACGGCCTAGCGAGTAGATGAGGTTCCTTCAGCTTAACACAAGACTGAAACAGGCATGTATCAGAGAGGCAGAAACTGCATATTCACTACAATCAACTCTGAAGCCTGTTCGTTCTAGCATACCTTCCTTGGTCTCCCCCAACAATCAGGACTCAAATGTAAAACTGGTTCCTGATTCCTTGACTCGGCCCTACAACTATGCTAAGGAATACTGCTTAAGCTAATTAATCGACAGGTAATATGCTTGGCTTTCTGGTAATCTAGCACATTCCATCCCCAGGATTACCCCTAGACCACTGTCCCTTTCACATTTCAAATACTCCAAATCCTCATGGCTACATATACCCATCTTCTGTAGCTCACCTACCCTCCTCATTCTTTACATCCGTGCTCAGCCACCCTGCAGCTTGACCTCACTGCATCTTGACCCAACGGTCCTTGATTTTCCCTTAAGGATGTCTAGTGCCACACGAACTGCAGAGCATTCCAAACGATTTACCTACCTTTCAAAATGGTGAACTCTGGAATAGCATACTGAATACAATTTTGTCCTCTCTCCTGTTTCTCATCTTTGCTTCTGCCCAACAGTAGTGTCCCTGCCCACCCAGGAGCCAGCCCCACCAATCACGCTGTCCCTACAGCTGCTGAGGCCTCCCACAGCACTCGCCTCCCAAACCTCCCCTCCACTTGGCTTCACTGCTGCTCGGAGCTGCAGCGCACTGGTGGTCAGGCCAGGAGACAACTGCAGCTGGACACACAGCAACCAGGCAATCCTCTGCTTCCTCCTACTGTCCTACCCATTCTCTCCAGCACTTGGTCTGGAGCTTTCCCAGTCTCAAGGAGCCCCTCGCTCCAGCGCAGTTCCACTGCACTCTGCAAACGGCTCAGTTCATCCCACCGAGGAGGCAGAAACCAAAGCCATCTGACCTGTGTCCCTTCAGTTCTCTTCCCTCTACCTCAACTCATTTCTCCAAACATACCTACCCAGGTGCCAAAGAGTAGGAATAAAAATAAAGCCCTGGCTGGTGTGGCTCAGTGGATTGAGTGCCGACCTGTGAACCAAAGGGTCGCCAGTTCGATTCCCAGTCGGGTCACTTGCCTGGGTTGCAGGCCAGGTCCCCAGTAGGGGGCGTGCAAGAGGCAACCACATATTGCTGTTTCCCTCTCTCCCTTCCCCTCTGTCTAAAAATAAATAAATAAAACCTTTAAAAAAACATAAAGATAGGGTCGTTGCCCTCAAGAACAAAGACATCAACAGGTAACTATAGAAACATGGCATCAAGAACAGGGGAAGCCCAAGGAGAGCCTGGCCAATTCTGTGTGAGGGGGCAGGCTTCACTGATTATCTGTCATAAAGAAGTACTCGATAATCCTGGAGCTGAGTGGGAGGAGCCACAGGCATTCCAGACAGAATAGAAGAGCTGGTGGCCTGAAAATTTGCCTATGAGAGAATCTGCAAGCAGTTTTGGACAGGTGGAGCAGAGGAGTACATAAACCTGTAGTCAACAGAAAGTGACAGGTGTCTCCTTTCATATAATCTGAGTGAAAACTGTTCCTCTACCAAGGCCCAAGCGGGGAGCCAGAAATAGCGGGGTTGCTGGAACCCGAGACCTGGGCTCCAATACCAACTCTATTTTTTCTTAGCAATGCAACTTTGGCCAAATCACCTCACTTACCTGAATCTGTTTTCCTTCCTAACATTGGGAACAGTCTCCACCTCTGATAAAATGAGATGAGTGTGTAGAACACTTGGTACACAGTTGAGCCTTCAATAAATGTAATTCCACTGCCCTCCTTCCCCACAACCCTACCCCGTCTGGGCGCTTCATTCCTCAGTTATCTACTCACTCCTTTGCCCCCCAATGAATCCTCCTCAATTTACAAATGCACTCAAACATTCTTCCTTCTAAGAAGCCAAGTTAACATGTTTCCTCCTCTTTACGGCTAACCTTCTTGGAAAAACTATTCTGCAGTTACTGTTTCTATTTCTCAGCTCCCTACTCTCTCAAATTCCTAAAACTGAAATGAGACAGTGGCTACCCGACCCTATACCTCCACCAAAGTCCTCTATATACGGTCACCCAATGTCTACTCCAATCGCTGTAGTGGGTGTTGCTGCCCTCCTTTCGGAAATGTCCACGCTTTCCGCACTTCCGTTCTCTGGCCTCTGGCCTTCCATCTCCACTAAGACTCTGCTTGTTCCCCTGCACCCAAAATGTAGGCAGTGCCCAAGGATATATCAGCAGCCTATCCTCCCCGTCCTCCTCAGGCAGCGCCATCTCATCTCTTTTTAGCAATCACACAGACGCACCCAACCGCTAACACTACCCCTCACTCTCAGCTCCATTCCTATGTTCCTAACTGCGTCCTTGGGCCCAAACTTGGGTGTCTCACAGAAATCCCAAATTCAACATGTCCACAGACAAACTCCAAGGTGTCTGCACAAGCCTTGTCTTCCGCACATGGCCCTGGCACTGCCCGGTTACCCAGCCTTGAAACCTCACATAGTCTTTGATTCCTCCACCCAGACACCCGCAGCTACAGAATTTCATCAGTTCACTTTCTAAGCCTCTCACATTCATCCCAGCTATACCATCTCACTGTGACAACATGCTTAAGTTCAAGGCCTCTTCACTTCTCCCACAAAGTAACAGGACAACCCCTTAAGTGTTGTGACTCAAGACATGTCACGTTTGCGGCTACTGTACTGACTTTTTTGTTGCATCACGGCTCTTCTTTCCCTCATGAAGCCAATGTTCCAGCGAAACACAACATGATCCTCTTCATATATGCTCCAAATTTTCTGCCTTGTTCTTCTACCTAGAGATCTTCCACTACAGTTCTTCCCCCAATTTGTCATATCTACATGTCCAAATCCTATTCCACACCTGAAGGCCAAGGTTAAATGCCTCCTCCAGGAAGCCTTCATCCATAAATGAAATCGCCTCTTCTGAGCTTCCCTGGGCCCCCCTCTACAGCTCTCCAGGAGTACTGACTACCTGTTTTCTGTAATCTCTTAATCACCAACTCTAGACTTAAACTCTGGGAGAGAATGAATATTTTTGAATTTTAAAAAGTCCCCCATACATTTTTTTTTAAATGAAGAGAATTCAATAACTTATGGAAGAAATTTGATACAGTGAGGTGTTGGCTGTATCAGGCAATGCTGTTTACACCGAAAACAACTCCTATGGGTAGACTGCATCTGAAATGAGAGGGCCATGAGAGAACTATAAATGCGCAGTAGGAAGCCATAGTTTTGGACTTCCTTACGTGCAAAGTGCTCACAGTCCCAAAGTTCCCCTTGCTTGGGACTTGAAAGCTATATCCACATATTAATGTAAGAGATACTCGTTGCAAGGTTAAGGCTTGCAAACCGGGGTGGCTCTATATCCACTTGTATGGTCCTGTTTGCTCACACATGAGTTGTCACTTAGGGGGCCAGACAGTAGGTCTTGGTCCTCTGTGAAGGTTTTTGCCTAATAGACAAGCCTGATGCTGCCCTGCTGTGCTTCCTGCTCTGTATCTTTCTGCAAAACTGATACCAGGATGGCCTATTTGAGGCTTACAAATATGAAATAATCAGCCTCATCTGAGACCACTGCTGCCAATCAAACAAGAGTAGGTGGTGCAACAAGGCTTTCTAATTCAAGACCAACGCACCTTCCACAATCCTGCGCTGCCTCTGTCCCACCCCTTTCAGGGAAGGACTGGGCCGTCAGCAGAACTGGCTCGATACCTTCACCTTCCTATTCAGCTACACTCCTCAGAGAATAAACTGCATTTTTAAACATTTACCCATCCCCAAGCTATCATTTCTACCAGAGCAGGGTCCTGCCCTCACCACTGGGTCCCATGGGAGGCTTACCAGACAGCTCATGAGAAGACTGGACTTTTTTTCTGTCCCTTCAGTGACTGAAAACACAGGTGTGTGAGGACAGTGTGCGCTGTGCTCATTCACGGTGACCTCTAAACAGGCACGAAGTTTCTGCTCTGTCAATTCTGGAGACTGAAAAATAAAGAAGTGAAACTACAGCCTAATTTTAGTTACCTCGAAGTCAACAGGTTGAAAATCCTGATTCCTCATGATAACCAACATATCTGTGATGACTTGATTCCTTGGACCTTAAAAACATTCTTGGGCTCATGATTGTACTAAAAAGATCTCTTAACCAATCTCCATCTAAGTGCCTGGCCAGACAACCAGTGCTCTCCAGTCCTGCTGAAAAACACACCACCACTGACAGGACCAGGGACACTCAGAGCCTCTCTTACGCTTCTGCCTCCACCAGTCAAATGTATCCCCACCAAGATATGTTTGGCTGGTGGAGGTAAAAGCATAGGAACCAAACAGATCTGCTCGGTCCTAGACCTTTTTGTGCTAGTTGAACCTGCTACTTTAATCAAGTAATTTAATTATGTATTATGTAAACCAATGAAATAAGAGAATGAAAATAAAGCTTTCTTTTTTTTGTGATAATAAGTTGTATGTTTGGGAAACACTCAAAAAGATGAGTTCCTTAAAAAGAAAGGTTGAATTAAAGTAAAAGATAGGGAGGAAAAATCCTAAGTTGCACTATTTGGTGCACTTTGCAGAAACAAAACTGAAAACTCTAGACAATGCATTAGAAGAGTAGTGTATGTGGAAAAGATTCAGCTCTCCAATCAGCAAAGCCCTCCTCAAGGACTGGCAAATAAATTTATATGCTTGAAACAATGTAAGTATTTCATTTTCATAATTCATCCCTTTAACCAACTGACAAACTTTCAGTCCCTGTCATGTCAGATAAGAGGGATCCCTCTGAACGTTAAGGTCACTGAATTGTGAGTCTGTCTTTATATATAGACAATTTTTGCGGGTGTTTAACAAATGGCTCCAGGGAGGGGGCAGGGGGCGCCCTGACCTGCAGTGCTTGCCCATTTCCATACTGTATATCTTCTCCCCATGGCTGATTTTAAGCTACCAAGGTGAAGCGAACACGAGCTGGGAAAAGATGTGCACTGTTGGCTCCAGCACACCCCTGAGGGTTCTTAAAGACAGCAGGAATATGTGGAAAGAGGGACAGAAAATCTGTGTGTGAAACACTTACATGAGATGCGATGTACAGGCCACACTGACACATGACCACACCGCTTGTTATTCTCAGGTTGTACCTAGAGGCAGAATTGGGATCCCAGAGCTTCATGGCCAGCAGACCAGGATCCCTGAAACTTTCCAGACAACAAATGTGGAAGGGAAATTCCACTCACGTTGGAGTGGAGGATGGGACCCAATAATGCTGAAAAGGTTTGGAAAACTCTTACTTTGTACACACAGGACAGATGAGGGAGTTTGCTTCCCACTCAGCCAGGATGATGCTGAGACACTTTTCATCAAACTGCAAGCTCTTCTCATATTCACGGATGATGGACTGTTCTGCAAGGCAATGGACAGTTGGAGAGCTGCACCACGCTTCACCCGATTGCCCTGTCTCTGATGCCAAGCTTCACCTTCACAGGCTTCATCCACACAAGAGAAGTGTTCAGGCTAAATCATGCTACCAACCACTAGATATTTACGCCTGTCACGCTTCCTCTTTTTGGATTCCTCCCCTCCCGTCTGTCCTCAACTTGTGAGCACAAGAAAGTGATGAGGCTAAGGCACAATGAGAAAACTTTCACACACATCTCCTGAGGTCGCAAGAGCAGAGATGTAGTGTCAGGGTCCCAAGGGCAGCTGGAGAACAATGACACTTATGGGGCACTTATTTCTGATGCTGCCCTACTCTGCTGAGCCTAAAGTGATCTCTTTTCCAATGGCTGTATGCTCAGAATCTGTGTTGTTCAGCATCTGAGTTCATTCATTCAGCAAATATGCAACGATACCTAGTGTGTACAAGACGTACGAGATGTACAAGGAGTACAAAGACGAAAAAGACCAGTCCCTGCCCTCAATGAGCTCACGATGGATTTTAGCTCAGTGGTCAGTAAACCACGGCCCACAGGCCATATCCAGCTCACCTTCAGTTTTTTAAATAAAGTCTTATGGGAACACAGCCATGGTCATTTGTTTATGTATTGTCTATGACTGTTTCCATACCACAAGAGCAGAATCGAGTAGCTGCAACAGAGACTGGACCCCTAAGCCTAAAATGTTTACTATCTGGACCTTTGCAGAAAGTTTGCCACTCTCTGTTCTAGAGTGTTCCTTATGACGGAGTACGGCAAAACACTGCATCGAATAGGGTAAATCCTTATCACGTCAGAAATTTTAGTTAAACATACCCCCAAAGAAATATTTAGTGAGTCTTTTGTTTCACCACTAAGATAGGTTTTATAGGTGAGGGTGAAAGGTGAACCAATCAAAAAAAAGGTAACTGAAAGGAAAAAAAATCTATAGTCTAACTGGAGTCAGTAATGTTAACTGCAACAATTAACACTTGCATAGCACTTTATTTTTCAAACGCTACTTTAAGTCCTTTACATATATAAACTCATTCACTATTATTACCCTTATTTTAAAGATGACAAAACTGAGGCATGGGTAGATTAAGTGCTTTGCCCAGTGCCACACCAGTTAAAATGGTAAAGCTAAGAAGTGAATCTCAGCAGTCCAGCTCAAGCGTCCACAGTCTTGCATCCTCATAATAATAGTTACCATTTGTTGAAAGCTTTCTATGTGCCAAGCACTTCTCTAAGTCTTCTATAGACACTACTTAAGCCTATAAACAAACTTATAGAGTAAGTCTATTATCGTTATTTTACAGAAGATAAAAACTAAGCCTAGTCAAGATAGGGCTATGTGGAATAAATGAATTACATAAGGTGCTAAACTATGCTCTCTACGGTGCTATGAATGCCTCAGCGATTGGCTGCTCACAAGCCCCTGGGGAGTCAGTAAAGAATGGAGGTTTAATTTAGGTAGTGCAAGAGACCTGACCATGCGCTGCATCCTGCAAGGTGACGGGATTACCGTTAATCCATTAATAGAGGAGTACTGTAGGACAGTAGAACATGGGAATTAGATACACGAAATTGATTTTGATTCCCCACTCCACCACTACCTGTGCAGCCTTGTGTACGATACCACTCTCTTCTGTCTCCTAATACCTTGGAGGGTAGTTATAAGGAGAAAATTAGCATGGAATGAGCGATCTGAGTACAAAGCCTAGCATCCTTAAGACTCTTAGGACTAGGAAGACAAGCAGCCAAGACTTCAGAGTAAAAGCAGAGACTACCGGATGTTTGACTGCAGATGGAAGTAGAAGGGAAGTTAAGAACCAATTCTGTTTAGAATATAGGTCAGCACTGGAGCATTTAGATAGAGGCAGGAAAGACCATTCTTAGGGGTCACCTTGATCAATCAGCTCCTGTTGGATTTCCTCCAGCTCAGCCAAGTCCATCAGCTCCTGCCACTGCAAGAGAAAGTGGGGCCATCAGAGGTTTGAAGTTATAATCAGCTGACAAGCTCCATAATGATTCATACTTGGAGGCTGGCTTGAAGAACCCAAGTTTGGCTGGGGAAATCAGTCAGTCCAGTTTCTGTAGACTATATTGACAATGGGGTAATGTGATCATGCTGAGAGGTCATCAATAAATGACTAAACTACCCAGTGACAAAATAATGGCACTTAATTGGGGGAAGGCAGTATAGGGGAGCAGCTAAGTATGTGGTTCTGCCAAACTTATGTAACCACTAGAAAGTTCCTAACCTCTGTAAACCTAAGTTTGGGCTTCTGTAAAGTGGGAATAAAACCTAGCTGAGAGGGTTACTGTGAGTGCTAACTGTAATTATATAACACAAACATCTGGGATACTGCAGGACACACAGCAGGTACTAAAAAATGTATAATTATTATAGAGAGTCTTGATATTTTCAAAGTAGTTTCCCACATGTTTTCTTATATAGCACTCACAATACTGACATTATTGTCTTCATTCCATAAATATAAAAACTAAAAATCAAACAGGCAGAGTGGAATTAACAAGCTATAGGAAAACCAGGATCTGAATTCCAGAGCTCCTGACTTCCAATCCAGTGCTCTTCCTGACACATGGTAGTTTCCTGCCCACACTCAGCTCCCAGCTCTGACTGAGATTAGAATAAAAAAGCTACTGGAGACCTTTTTAAAAAGAAAGATTCCCAGCTCATGCCTACAGGATCAAAACTTCCAGGAGGATCAAAACTTCCAGGCACGTAGCCAAGGAATGAAATTACTTTCTTTTTAGTTTCATAAGTGACTATAAGGCACTGATGCAGCAGGTCCACAGTCTGGTATTTAGGAACCGTTAATCTAAAAGTGTCTAACGTTAAAGGTAGAAGGACCTGGGTTAAAGGCTGTCAGAATCCTGATTCTGGGCTTGAAGATATATGGGTTTAGAGGACATGGGAAAATAGGTAGAGAGGACACCAGGTGCTCTTGGTGCTGTAGCACCGTCCTTGAAAACACGTATCATATAGCCTGACCTGAGCCAAGGCCTCTGGACAACTTTCCATTGATTGCAAAGCATTCCACTCTTCTTCCATCAACTCTTGCACTAGAAGGTTGCTCTGAGCTCTCCCTTGCATATTGCCTCCAGCCTGGCGGTATTTGTTCAGGAGCCTGTCCCGGCTGTTTCTCATTCTCTCCAGGCAGCCCTTGGAAGAAGGAGAAAGATGCGAAGGGGTGGAGGGAATGCAGGAGGCAGGGAAGGAGGGGAAGGCAATTCCATTAAAAAGAAACTCTTAGCTTAGTTGTTAAAACATCAAAGAACATGTATAGACACAAATTATCAATTATAATCCTAACTATTGTTAATTTTCCATTTTTCCCACCAGTCCTTATTCACATGTAGACAGATGAAAGTACAATGCTTTGTTCATCTGTTTCCAGATCACCATATTTCATGTTCTATATTCAATACCAGCTTCCTTAACGGTTGGATGATGACAGCTCAGTAACTACTGTGCCATTATAAGACATTTAGATTGCTTGCAAATTCGTGCTGCTCCAGATATAGCTACGGTAGTCACCTTCCTGTACAGCAGTGTTTCTCTACTTGGGGCAATTTTGTCCCCCAAGGGACATCTGGCAATGCCTAGAGACATTTTTGGTTGTCATAATTCTAGTTACAGGGCTACTGGCATCTAGTGGGTAGAGGCCAGGGATTCTGCTAAACATTGGACAACGCGCAGAACAGCTCCCACACCCAAGAATTAGGTATTTTCCTCAAAATGTCAATAGCCAAGTTGAGAAACCCGGATGTAAACAGTCATTTCTAGCATCCAATTATACTCCTGAGATAGATCCCTTAGGGGATTTTTGTAGTCATAGGCAGTATTACAGGAACCACGCTGTGTTCAGACGTGGTCAGCACTGAGGTGAGATGCAACTTTGCTAAGACTCAGTAACTGCAGCTCTTCTTCTGAACAGAGGCTTTCTCTTGAACAGCAATCATTTGTCTCTTGCATGAGATACATATACAGTGTACAAAGTGTCTTTCTCGGTGCCCACCTACCAAACAACAGCAGGTGCTGTTATTGTAGAGTGCAGAGGGGTGGTCAGGATCACACGTCAAATGTAAAACAAATCCAAATACAAAATCCGAACTCAAAAACAAGGCCTGGGCTGCATCAGCCCGGGCTAATCCCACACCCGGGATCCAGAAACTCCAGGAGGCGGCCAAGACCCAGATCTAAAGGTGGGAGGCCTGAGTCGCAGGTCCACCTCCACCGGCCAGGCGCTCCTGGCACCTGCCTCGCCCGGCTGGACTGAGGCGAAAGCACTGAGAAGAAAGCACGCAGTTTCTGGACGGAGTAGGGGAATGACGACGGCTCAGCCAAGGTTTCCCAATCCCCGTACTCACCTGCCTGAACGTCTCTTTCCATTGTGGGGATCCCACCAACTTGTACATCAAGCGACGCGGAGATCCTGACCGCTCTGCCATCTCCTCTCCGCAGGAGCCGCCGTGAGAAATCCCCGCCCTCTGCAGGCGCGCAGAACCCTGGGAGTTGTAATTTCTGGTTGCTGATTGTACTACACCCCACAGAATTCTGGGAAGTGTTGTTTTACTGGCCGACCCAACCCTGTGCAGTCCGAAGATGGGGGGCTGCACTCGTAACATTTGTAAGGTTAACCCACCCTGGATTGAGGGAGGTAATTCTTGAACGAAGATCTTGGATGTCTAGGTTTACCTACGTGGAAGTGTCCAACAAGCAAATATACAGGGGTTAGGTTCTTCCCCACGGTCTAGGCTTCCCGCGGCACCAAAACTTGAAGCCGACACTGGCCTGTTGACTTTCTCGTCCCGCCCCGTTAGGCTTCAGAATAAACACTTGATTGGCGATTGGCCTTCCGGTAGCGTCGCCCCTGCCTGATAGGCGGGCCTTACCGTCACCAGCCTCGTGCTTCCGGGATTCCTGCTCGACGATTAGCCAAAGGAGTGGGAAGCTGGCCGCAGATTGGCTGCGCTCAGCGGCGGGCTGAGCAATTGGAATGAGGAGAGCAGTTGGGTCAAGATGGCGGCTGTCGCGGGACTCTCGGGTGATGGCGAGCTGTGGCAAACCTGGCTTCCTAACCACGCCGTGTTCGTGCGTCTCCGGGAGGGACTGAAAAACCAGAGTCCAGCCGAGGCTGAGAAAGCCGCTTTATCGCTGCCTTCGCCGCAGTTGCTGACGAGAAACCTGGTTCTTGGCCTGGGCGGAGAACTCTTCCTGTGGGACGGAGAAGGCAGCTCCTTCTTAGTGGTTCGCCTTCGGGGCCTCAGCGGTGCGGGTGAGGAGCCCTCCCTGTCCCAGTACCAGGTATGGCCAGGCTGATCTCGGAAATGACCGTCAGCTGGGGTCGGAAGCAGTTTTTTAAAAACACTTACTGATTTTTAGGGAGAGAGAGAGGAGAACACCGATTTGTTCCACTTACTGTGCGTTCATTGGTTGATTCTTGGTACCTGCCCTGACCCCCATCTAAACTCCACCTTGGCGGACGAGGAGGACGCTCTAACCAACTGAGCTACCCGGACGGGGCTGAGCTAGTTGTTTTTTATTTTTTATTTCTTTTCCCTCTCCCTCTTGTCTGTTTTTCACTTCGAGAGGGAAAGTTTCCCTTTTTTATTTTCATTCTGCGGAAGCATGGCCACATAACCTCTTGTAGCCTGTTACTGACCCCCAACACTGTGCCAGGCACAATTATAGGAACTCATGCTCTCCGCGTGCTTAAGTTCTTGGGGTCTGGGAGAAAGGGAAAGACCACGGAATACTCCTTACCATCAGTTGTGCACATGCTCTGAAGAAAAAGCAGGGGAAGGAGAGAGAGGGTGTGCGTGCAGTTGCTATTTTTAGTGGGTCCGTCCTGAGAAACTTCATTCATGAGGTGACACTCAGTAAGGATAAGCCTACCTTTCCCTTGGGGTTGTTAGGAGCGTCACGTCAGGTAATAGACTTGAAAGTACCAAGTTTTGTGCCTGATGTAGAGGAGAAACCCCTTCTCAGTTCTTTCATTTACCTGTTAGAAAGTTAGGCCGTCCCCAAGGTTGGAAGGGATTTTTGCTTGTTTTTGATATGCCGACACAGTGTGGAAGTGGGTGTGATCAGGAAGTTTTCCATACTTGCTGTAATCAGACATTGCTTTCTGGAAATGTTTGTATTTGTATTAAATTCACTCTATTCTTTTAAAAATTAAAAACTAAAAACGTTGTTATCCGTTCTAATACATGACCCCTGCTGTGTGCCATTGCCCAATTCTTGTTGAGGAGAAATGATTTGAAGTTAATGAGGTGCTAGATATATTTTTGCACTTTTCAAAATGCATCACAAGTCTACAGTGTACTTTAAAATTTCAGTTTACACGAGTAATTTACAAGATGCTCAGCACACAGTATTCCACCAAAACCTTACATTGCTCTACAACATTTGGTGCAGTCATAATGAAATTATTTGTACTTGTTTATTTTTTGTCTGTTTTTCTCGACAGTAAACACCAAGGCAGGGGCTCTTTCTGCCTTACTTATTTTTTAGGTACCTCCAGGAGCTCACTGAGTGCCTGCACATATGAGCTCTCAGTAAATATTGGTGACTATCTGAATGACCCTCAGTCTTCCAGAATATCAAAAACTCAGGCAAGAAAGCAGTTTAGCATGAGTTGCAACTTTAAACCTTAACAAAAGCATGAGTAGTGACTTAGAAACAAAACAAACATAAAGACCTCTAAATACTGTGATTGTTGCAAGCAATTTAAGGTTATTGAACTGTATGTATAGAATAAGAAAGATGGCCTCTGGTTGATTTGAGATACACCATCAAAATCAAGTAGAAAGAAGATGGGTGTTGAGAAGGTAGGGAAAAAGGGGAAAGAACCACTGACAGAAGAAAAAACAATTTGATTAGAATCGCCAAGGGCAACTAAAACAAACAAAAAACAAGCTTATAGATATCAGTAACATTAGAAGTCTCCTTATATTCAGAATGGCTTGTCTAAAAGGATTTAGGCTTTGTGTGATTCTCCATAAATACGGATAAGCAATACATTGGCATTTTCATGGTTTATTGCTGAAAGTGGACAGACAAGAAAATGGAAACTCAATGTCACAAGAGAAGAAGTAGGAAGGAGTGAATTTTTTTTGAGAGCACATGATGCTGAGACAAACACTGTTCCATGTCTGCATAGGTAAAATGCCATTTTATTTGCTGCAGAAGCTCCTGAAGCCATTATCTTATTGTGCTATTTCTAATATAATGTAGTAACTATTAATATTTCTGAGTTCTTCATTTGTTCACTAAAACATACATTGAGTCTGCAATATACCATATATTATGCCAAAGATACTGAGAGGTAAGATACAGATTCATAATTCATTCTAAGTAATTCATAGTTGTATGGGATGAGCAAGTAAAAGGATAAGTAGAATGCAGGGTGATAAGAACTATAGTAGAGTGTGCTGTGGGAGTCCAGGAAAGACACATTTTATCCTTGGCCAGAAGATCAGGGATATTTTCTTGGGAAGAAAGCGTATCGAGGCTGAGTCTTCAAGAATGTGTTAGCCTGCTTAAAAAAAAAAAAAAAATGACATTGCACATTGGAGGAAGAACAGTTATGCAAAGACACAGAGACATAACAAAGCATGACAATTACCCAGAAGTACAAGTTTTCTGATTGGAAGAGGTATAAAGTACAAGTAGGGAATGGTGGGGAATTGAGGCTGGAGCTTGATCATAAAAGGGACAATTATGTGCAGTATTTACATATCAAGGTAGTGAAATTTGATGCATTTTTATAACATTCCATTCGAAATGGTTAAAACTGTTTCTTCATTTAGGGGCCAAGTGTTACTAATTATCCAGAATGCATCATTATCCTACAGTTATGGAAAACAAAAGAAGTACTGTGCTTTCACGTAACTGTCACACATATTTACATTAAACTTAACTATTTTGACCAGTTTGCTTTAATTTCAGAGATTGCTTTGCATAAATCCACCCCTATTTGAAATCTACCAAGTCTTGTTAAGTCCAGCACAACATCATGTAGCACTTATAGGAATAAAAGGACTTATGGTATTAGAATTACCTAAAAGATGGGGGAAGAATTCTGAATTTGAAGGTGGAAAATCAACAGTGAATTGTAGGTAAGTTCTGTTTTTATTTAGTGTTTAGATTTATAATTTATAATGCATGCAGAAAATTATTCAAGACCAGTAATTTTAAGATATGTTTACTATGAATATTCCATACGGTCTGCACATTGGCATTTTATGATAATAATGTTTATAGTATATATGTGATTATACTTTTATTCTACCTGAATTATCACATTACTCTCATTAAAAGTCAGAGCATTCTTCAAGGTAGAAATAAGGTTTTTAAAAAGCAGTTATTATCTATGAGCCAGGCAGTTTGCATACAAGTTCAACTAAGTTTTATTTTTGTATATATTTTTTCAACAAATCCAGAAAAGTGAGTGTCTGAAAGATCTACTGAAAAGAATATAAGGTAGAAACTCACCTTTAGCTCCACAACTTATGAGTTGGGTCCCCTTAAAATGTTTCTTTTCTATATCTCTATTTCCTAATTTCCAGCATAGAAATGATAATATCTGCTCTTGTATTTTCCTTGCAGGGCTACTAAAAGGAACAAATAAGATACTATATCTAACTATATCTAAAATCACTTATATAATATAAAATACAATTTAGAAAGTATTTTTATTTTCATTTTTTGATATTAATTGAATGGATACTTTGAATGCTCTCCCAGTGAGACTTAAAAGAGAAAAAAAGTTGAAGGAAAGAAGAGCAAAGAGTGTTAAAATAGATTTTTCCTTTAGAAGGTTTTTCATCCAAGTCATACAAAATGGTTTTGGAAAATTGTTTTCTTTTAGTACCACTCCAATTGCTGAGAGATTTTTCACCAGTTCTACATCTCTGACACTAAAGCATGCTGCCTGGTATCCAAGTGAAATGCTGGATCCCCACATAGTGCTGTTAACATCAGACAATGTAATAAGGTAAATTTTATTTTAATGTCTTATAGCCTTGTGATTGGGGAGGTTCTGTTTGTGTTTGCCAGTTAACAGCTCAAGGTACCACTAAATGGGTCCTGGGATGTTAGAATGCTTTATCTGTTGGCTGTAATAACCCTTTCTCAAGAACAGTCTCACTGCCCTAACTTGCATGCCTTAATTACTACTGTTCTCTCTCAACTAGCCTTCCTGCCTCCATTCTCTCCTATCTAATTCTGACTAGTCAGCACTGTTAAAATAGCCTTCCTAAGGAAACTGTTTTCATAATGTCACTATTTTGGAGGTGATGTAGCATAGGGGAAAGAGTATATAATTGGAAAATCAGAGATTTCAATTTTCCAGTGCCACTTCATCTTTGGGATCTTACACTTCTTTTTAGGGGACCTCCAGTTTCCATTTTGCAAAATGAGCAGATTTGATTTGATAATATCTAAAATCCCTTCCAAGTTTTGTACTGGATTAAATGACCTAATCTAATCCTACAAGATTTCTGTTATCAGTTAATTTTCTGGATTTGCCTTCTATAAAATGTTTGTGGGGAGACTCAACTAACTGAGATACAAATACCTCCAGTTTTATTTTTCCTAATCATTTTTTTTTTAACTGTACTCTACCAAATCTTCCTTCCCTACTCAATACTTGATCCCTTAAGGGCATCTCTTACAGATCTCACAGCTTTATGGTTACTTTTAGGTATTAAAACCAAGTCTGTCCAGTTTAAAACTCCAGTCTCAAATCTGTTTCAAAACTATATCCTGGGCAAAACTATATCAGGTCAGACCCTGA